CCGCCCAGCCTCCTGCTGGTGGGCACCCTAGCAGGCAGCAGGTGATGGCTTGAGCAGTGGGGTCCCTGTCACCCACGGGAGAGAACTGAACGGAGCTCCTGCCTGTTGGTTTCTGCCTGGCCCAGCCCTGGCTATTGTGGGGTGACCCAGTGGATGGAAGATTTTTCTTTCTCTCACTCTCCTCTCTCTCTCCATCTCTTTCTCTGATACTCTGCCTTCTAAATAAATAAAAATAAACTTAAAAGCTACATGCATTTAAAACTTCTCTAACTAAAAGAATAATCAGATGTGAGTGAAAGTGTTACTGAATTTAAAAGCAGGCAAAGCCACTGGTTTGACTCATCAGCTCAAAAGAATGCTGCCTATTCCAGAAAACTCAACACCCCCCAGATAAACCTTAGAAACTGTTTTTTAATTTCAAGGAAAACAACGCATCTCCAGTGCATAAAAACCAGGTAATGACATGGAAAGCAAGCCCGCCTCAAGCGTCTCTGTCACATTACATTCCAAAGATGAGGATACGTTGCTGACTTTCGTGATTAAAAGGTTTCGACTCGGGATTTTAAAACCCAGGGAAGTCATTGCTCCGGAGGGAAGCCCCTGAAAAGCACTGTCACTTACGCGGTGACCTAGAAAACCCGGCACCCACACGCTCCTCTGTAAAACATAAAATCAAAATATAGAACTCGCACGTCGGAAAACCGTGATCTCAAAAGGCAGGCAGCAGGCACTGAGCTGGGTTCAGGTGTAGAGGCTGCGACCGATGGAAGTGTTGGAAGTTAATTAGGAAGTTACAGAAATAACATGCAAGGCGATGCTATATAACTTCAATAAGGATACGATTATAGAGTTTTGCAAAATGATTCGCTAAATGAATAACATTTATTAGACACTTTCTCTGGGATCGCACTAAGAATTTACCCTGTGCTGAATGGTCTTGAAGGGTCACGGGCACATTGGACTGGATTTCATCATGAACTCCAGGGCCACACTCCAACCATGGATTTCTACACCGAGTCACACTCGTAAGTCCTCGTCCCCAGCTCCCCACGCGTGCCTTGTCTTCACAAATGTCTGCTGTCCCCCTACTTACCCACAGCGCAGCCACATGGCTCCTGCCCTGCCTTCTGTTGTCCAGCAGCACTGGAAGATCCCTTTTCCTTCTCTTCCATGCTCGTTTTAAAAAGATTCATGGGCTGCCATTGTGCTGCAGCAGGTTACACCAACGCTAGCAATGCCGGCGTCCCATAAGAGGTGCCTGTTCAAGTCCCAGCTGCTCGGCTTCCAATCCAGCTCCCTGCTGCTGTGCTTGGTCCAAGTCCTTGGGTCCCTGCCTCGCGAGTGGGAGACCTGGAGACTCCTGACTCCTGGCTTCAGCCTGGCCCAGCCCCGGCCACTGTGGTCACTGCGGCCATCTGGGGAAGGAACCAGCAGATGGAAGACCTCTCTCCTTCCATCTGTAACGCTGCCTTTCTAATCAATCAATCAATCCAGACATCTCCCTGCCACACCCAATTGCATTTCTCTACTAATTCCCTGGGGAAAATATTTCCATCGTCACTCATGGCTCTGCAAGGAGTGTCTCCTTGCAGAATGAAGTCTCCTTGATCAGTTTCCCTCCTCTCAATTCATTCCTACCTCATCCCTAACTCAGAAAGTAGCCCAAGACCGTCTTTCTCTGAGTAATTTCCCTACTTCTGCAAGCCCACACACGCCCCTGGGTTCAACCACCAACACACGGGATCTTCTCTGGTTCACAGAATAACTCAAGTGGATGCTACTGTCATGAGGTCACAGCACAGTGGCCAGGTCCAGCATGGAACTCATTTCTCCCCAGGACCACATCCCAGCCTCTCACACTAAAAATCTCAGAACTTTTTTTTCTTTTATTTGTAAGGTGGAGAGATGGGGGAGGGGGAGGGGAGATACAGAGGGAGGGAGGGAGGGAGAACCCTCCATTCACTGGTTCACTCCCCCGATGCCTGCAAGGGCCAAGGCCAGAGCCAGAAGCCGGGAACTCAACCCAGGACTCCCACATGGATGGCAGGGACCCAACTACTTGAGCCACCGCTGCTCGCTACATTAGCAGGAACGGACCAGGAGCCAAACAAGCGCTGTGAAATGGGATGTGGGTGTCTTAACCGCTGGGCCAAACGTCCACCCCCAGCAATCGTAGCTGCGCCAGACATTCGAGCCTTTGTGTGCTATCAGTTAACGTGGAAAGAACACAATCTCACAAAAGAAGAGTAAGCTGAACTTGCTAAAAAAAAAAAAATGAACTTGCTGCAATGTGTTTATTTGAATATTTTGAAAAGATTTTTATACCGTGGCAAACTATACATAAGAACATTTACCGTTTTAGGCATTTTTAAAGTTTTCAGTTCAGTGGTGTTCAGAATAACTCTCACTGCTGCCCACCCATCACCACCATCCATCTCTGCGCTTTGCTTGTCTTTTCTTTTTTTAAGATATATTTATTTATCGGGGCCAGCACTGTGGCGTAGCGGGTGGAGCCAGGGCCTGCAGTGCCAGCATCCCATATGGGAGCCGGTTCTAGTCTCAGCTGCTCCACTTCCAATCTGGCTCCCTGCTGCAGCCTGGGAAGGCAGTGGAAGATGGTCCAAGTGCTCGGGCCCCTTCACCTGTGTGGGAGGCCCAGAGGAGGCTCCTGGCTCCTGGATTTGAATTGGCACAGCTCCAGTCATTGCACCAATTGGGGAGTGAACCAGCGGATGGGAGACCTCTCTGTCTCTGTCTCTGTCTCTGTCTCTCTCTCTCTCTCCTTTCTGTGTAACTCTGGCTTTCAACTAAATAAATAAGTCTTTAAAAAAGATATATTTATTTAGTTGAAAGGCAGAGTTACAGAGAAAGTGAGAAAGGGAGAACTAGAAAGAAAAAGAGATCTTCCGTCTGCTTGTTCAATCCCTAAATGGCTGTAACGGCCAGGGCTGGGTCAGATCGAAGCCAGGAGCTGCATCCAGGTCTCCTGTGTGGGTGCGGGGGCCCAAGCACTTGGCCATCCTCCACTGCCTTCCCAGGCTGCAGCAGAGAGCTGGACTGGAAGTGGAGCAGCCAGGACACCAACTGGCACCCTGGGTCACACATCAGAGCTCCTGGACTCAAATCCCAGCTCCGCTCCCAATTCTAGCTTCCTATTACCCCACATGGCAGACCCAGATGAGTTCCCAGTCCTGGCTTCAGCCTGACCCAGCCGCATCTGGGCTGTGAACCAGCAGATAGCAGCTGTCACTCTCTCAGAATTAAACAAACCAAAAAAAAAAAAAAAAAAAAAACACCTCTCCTGGGTCCCGCTAAGTGAGGAGTTGTGGCATTCAAATACCCTAGAGTCTTCCAAAAACCCATCTTGGTTTTGGTCCTGAAATAACACAACAGCTGAGTGGACGTCTGGAGAGAATGCAGACGGGGAGTGGGGTCGCGGGAGGACGAGCCCCAAGGGACTGCGAGGGTCTCCCCGCGCCACTTCCTGTGCTAACGCACTCCTGATATTGCAGCGAGCTTGGGCGGTTTGGAAGAACCTCCGTATTTCAAAAGAAGGAAGCCGGGGTTTTGGACGTCACACTTCATGCACTTGGCGGTCAAGTTACAAGACCGGCTGGGCACCCTCCGGGGCGGGGTCCCGCCACCGTCAGCTTCCTGCGCCTTGGCCTCAGCTCTTATCCTCGGTTCTGATTTTCACTTCACAGTGAACTCTCAGAGGAAGAGCAGCTGCAGAGGAATTCAACACCTCCCCAGGCCGTGCCGCCCGTGAGACTTCAGCCACGAGAGGACTTTGAAAAGTGCATGAGAAATGCCAAGAAATGGTGGCAGGTTGGGTGCGAACGTTTTGAAATCCATGCGCCGGATTGTGGTGACGCGTGTTCCCCATGAACTTTTTGAAGATCTCCCCACGTGTGCAGAGATTTCAAAACTTCGTGCTCATCTTTTCATTCCATTTTCCACGACCTTTCTCAAGTCCCCATATATATATATATATGTGTGTGTGTGTGTGTATATATATATATACACATATATATATATATATATAGTTGGCAGCCTGGGCGTCCGCTGGCAGGCTCAGCAAAGCCTGAAAGACTCAGCCTCTGCACCTGAAGCAGGTGTGGGAGAGTCACCGAGGGTCAGCCCGCGTGGCGGGGTACAGGCTCAGAGCCATAGAGCGGGTGCGGTGCCAGGGCGAGGAAGTCACGCCGGACGACGGGGCTCCACAAAGCCTCGCCCAGGGACAGCACATTTAAGCAGACTACAGTCAGGTCAGGATGGCCCTCCTGAGCGAGCCAGAGCCACCATCCCACGCAGCACTGCGTGCGTGCCTCCTGACCGCGACCCCGGCCACTCACGCCTGCGCTGCCATGACAAGAAGCCATTTCGGGGTCTCCCAGTCCCTGACTTCTCTCCTCAGTTCCATGATGCCCTGCGGCTGCTCTCGCCCAGCACAGACGCCCAAGGAACCCCTGACCAGCTCATGCTGGCTTTGAACCCGCTGACTTCCAGAGTGAGTCATTCAGCATTGCCAGTCCCTTGTTCCTGCGTGGGTGAAACCTCCCAGCACCAGAAGATGGGAACAGGTGTACATTCAGTCTGTCACCAGTTAGAAGCACGCCCACTGCTTCATCCGACCGTCAGGTGAGGCCAGGCCAGCCAGCCTCCTTCACAGAGGCCCCCTTCAAAGCCGCACGGGGTCACCCCAATATCCCGATGTTAAAGCCTCAGCACTTGGACTGAAGCGCCCCACGAGAAATACACTCTGATAAGCTAAGGCTCCTCCTTGGCAGCACCAGAGGTGTCCCCACCCCCTCGTTAGCCCGTGCTCAGCCCTTGCAAACAACACAATCCTGTCTATACAGTGAAGTGTGTATTCCAATAAAAGAACCCCCGAGGGGAGAAAGGTCGCTGAATTCTGGGCGGTCTGTGCACCCCACCTATAGACCGGGTCTGGGGGAGACGGCTCAGCGGGAGGGGTCCGCCGCCCCGGCCGCACTCACCTGTCCTCGAAGCACACGGTGCACTTCCAGGTGCGGGTCCTCCGCAGGAACACGCGGCACTCGGAGCACACGCAGTGGCTGCAGCCCTGGCACACGGCGCCCCGGTTCAGCAGGAGCCCCAGGGGCCGCTGGCAGCGGGCACAGCACTTCTCTCTGTACTCCCGGCTCGAGCTCTTCGCCCCTTGCCACCGGAGATGCCGCAGGTGCGTTTTCAGTTCCCTGTGGCCCACAGCATTAAATGAGACAAGACCGGGTGGGACGCCAGAGGCCAGCCTGCGGGGCAGGACCCCCAACAGCGTGGCCATGGCCATCCCACAGCCCACTGCCCCAGGTTCCAACACGGCTGGGGGAGCTGGGCCGCTCATTCAACCTCTCAGGGCTGCCTCGGGGTTTGCTCAACTGTGAAACAGAGAAAATACAACCTCCCTCCCTCCCAGTTTCCAGTGAGGATTCCCTGGCAAAGCATAAACCTTACGGTGCAGAGGGCTGGCTGCTAATTTTGTTCTTGGTTCATCCCTCGGTGCCCAAGGGTCATTAGCATAGCAAGCAAGAAGAGAGAGAGAAGAGGAAAGGAGAGAGAAGGGGTGTCCATTCTAATAGACCAGGCACAGCAAGATCTCAAATACACTGCATACATCCCTGCTTTGTATAGGTTACCCAGAACAGTTAACCAGTGCTGGGGCTGGCACTGTGGCACAGGTCAGCCATTGCAACGCCACTGGCATCCCATGTAGGAGTATGGATTTGAGTGCCAGCTGTTTCACTTTTTTTTTGACAGGCAGAGTTAGTGAGAGAGAGAGATAGAGAGAAAGGTCTTCCTTCCGTTGGTTCACCCCCGAAATGGCCACTACGGCTGGCGTGCTGCACCAATCTGAAGCCAGGAGCCAGGTGCTTCCTCCTGGTCTCCCATGCAGGTGCAGGGGCCAAGGACCTAGGCCATCCTCCACTGCCCTCCCGGGCCACAGCAGAGAGCTGGACTGGAAGAGGCCAACCGGGAAAGAACCGGTGCCCCAACCCGGACTAGAACCTGGGGTGCCGGTGCTGCAGGAGGAGGATTAGCCTAGTGAGCCACAGCACCGGCCAACTGTTTCACTTCTGACCCAGCTCCCTGCTAGTGCTCCTGAGAAAGCAGCAGAAGAAGATGGCCCAGGTGGGTCCTGCCACCACACAGGAGACCCAGAGGGAGTTCCAGACGCCTGATTTCTGCCTGGCCCAGCCTAGGCTGTTGTGGTCATTTAGAGAGTGAACCAGCGGATGGAGGATGGAAGATCCTTTCTCTCTCTCCCTCCCTCCCTCTCTCTCTCTCTCTCTCCTCTCTCTTCTTTCTTACTCTGCCTTTCAAATAAATCTTTCTTAAAAATTAACTGATTCTGTGCTTTCACCATCCTGTTTTATGGTTGTCAGTGTTCTCTCAGCTTCTGATTCCCCTAGACAACAGTCATAGTGCACCAGGACATCGAACTGGACCCCCAAAAGTGTCACTAATCAGAGCCTTGTTTTCTGAAATGTCTGTTGTCTAATTTTAGAAGGCAGAGTCACGCCCAGGAAAGCAGGATTACATCAGACGGACTTCAAAAGTCAATGTCCAGCAGGAAAAGCACCTGGCTCCTGGCTCCTGCCATCGGATCAGCGCGGTGCGCCGGCTGCAGCGCGCCGGCCGCGGCGGCCATTGGAGGGTGAACCAACGGCAAAGGAAGACCTTTCTCTCTGTCTCTCTCTCTCACTGTCCACTCTGCCTGTCAAAAAAAAAAAAAAAAAAAGTCAATGTCCAGGATTTACTGTACAACAAATGTTGGAGCCAAACGCCCTCTCCCCAGCATCAGTGTTACCGTGTTAATATTCCAGGAGTCAGGGTTAAGGCACAGCAGACTAAGCCACCGCCTGAGATGCCAGCATCCCATATGAGTGCTGGGTTCAACTCCTGGCTGCTCCACTTCCCTCTAGCTCTCTGCTAAAGTGCCTGGGAAAGCAGCGGAGCTCGGCTCATGTCCTTGGGTCCCTGCCACCCATGTGAGAGACCCAGATGGAGTCCCTGGCTCCCGGCTTCAGCCTGGCCCAGTCCTGGTCATTGTGGCCATTTGGGGAGTGAATCGGTGATGGAAGATTTCTCTTCTTCTCTCTCTGTCCCTACTTCTTCTTCTTCTTCTTCTTCTTCTTTTTTTTTTTTTTTTTCAACATACGACAGGCAGAGTGACAGTGAGAGAGAGAGACAGTGAGAAAGGTCTTCCTTTGCTGTTGGTTCACCCTCCAATGGTCGCCATGGCCGGTGCACTGCGGCCAGTGCACCGTGCTAATCTGATGGCAGGAGCCAGGTACTTATCCTGGTCTCCCATGGGGTGCAGGGCCCAAGTACCTGGGCCATCCTCCACTGCACTCCCTGGCCACAGCAGAGAGCTGGCCTGGAAGAGGGGCAACCGGGACAGAATCCGGTACCCCGACCGGGACTAGAACCCGGTGTGCCGGCGCCGTAAGGCAGAGGATTAGCTTAGTGAGCCACGGCGCCAGCCTCTCTGTCCCTACTTCTGTGTCACTTTGCCTTTTAAATAAATAAATAAACCTTTAAAACTAATATTCAGAATGTCTCTGTCACCGAAAGCTCTTGAATCCCCAAAGAAAACTCCATCTTCCTCAGCGTCTTCCAGTGTCTAGTGGAGCACCATTTACAGGGATATTTAGAAAGTTCTGGAATAACCAGGGAGGCTGGAAAGCAGCACTGTCCCTCTGGTCAACCACAAAGTCTCCCTTGTTTCGCAAGCTTTGGATTGTCCAAAGTTTTATTTTATGTACGTGTTTTTCTTGGGAGACTCTGAAAGAACTCGGTCATTGGAAACAAATCCTACTCCACCTGCTTATCTTCTAAATCCCCCCTGCTCCTCAGCCTTGATAAACAGGCACCACGGTGTTGCAAAGCGGCTCTGGCGACAGACACCGCTGACCGTCAGCGCTCACCCTCGGTAGCAGCTGGCGCAGCCGAGACCACACAAAGCCCCCTGCCACGCACCCGTCAGCGAGCCAGCAGGGCAGGGTCAGCATTTAACTGGGAAGTGAAAGCAAGCCCAGGAAAACAGGAGGGGGTTCCTCCGGCCCGCGGTTCCAGAGCTGCCACCTTTGAGCTTTCGGGTACCTCCAGAAATGAGGTAGGAAAACCCTGAATTGGGGTCTTTCCCTCGAGCAGTGTCCCAGAAGCCCGGGAGCTTCGCTTGAGTTATCCTCACCAAGAGGGCGAATGGATAAGCAGACGACAGCAGACTTCTGGCAACAGGGCAGCCCTGCCTCCCGCCCCCGCGTCCTTGCCATCCTTCAAGTTCAGTTCAACAGCAAGGACACTCTGCACACACCCTAGGGCAGAGGCCCTTGGGGAGAGAGGAGCAACAAGAAAGCAGCCATCAGCCCGGGACTAGCAGCTCCCAGCCCTGTCCAGGACACAGCCTACCGGATCCTCTCCTCCTCGATGTTCCGGACAGCCTGGTCGCGGTATAGGACCTGCAGGATGAGCTCCCGTTCCCGCTCCTGCAGGGAATTCAGATCCACTTCCTGGGCCATGTTCTCTGTCTCTTCTGGGCCCCACGTTGGTCAGTGGCGTTTACAACACAGGCCGCGTGTTCCTCGAAAGAGCTCCCTCCCCTGTCTCAGGGGAGCTGGGGTTCGGCTGGTGTGCCTCTCCCCCTGTTTGACTGTTTCATACCCTTTGGGAGAGAACCCCCCGGGGAAGCTGCCCTCTGCCGAGTCACTGTGCCACCTGGGCTGCCGCGGCGGCCTCTGACATCCGCCCGAGACAAAGGCGTATCTCAGTTCTGAGGTTTTGCCGGAGATTGTTATAAATTATGCACAGCTCCGAGCAGTTGATTTCTGCAAAGCAGAAGCAATCTCCAGGCTCAAGAAAGTTGGTGAGGGCAACCAGAAGGGCGGTGAGGACCAGGAGGCTCTGCACTTCCCCCAGTGGCCACGGGAAGCCCAGCTCTGCAAACGCCTGCAGAAAAGACAAAATGCTCCGTGCAGGCGAAGCTCGGGGCTTCCTGCTCTGCTGATGATGTGCGATTTCAAATTCCACGGAGTCAGACCTCTAAAAGCCTCAATCTTCCCAACGTGAATCCTGTAGCTTCCGTGGCCAGAGGCACGCAGTGTATGGGTGGTCTGCATCAGCGTCATAAGTTAGGAGAAGCAATGTTCTCCAACGCAAGCTATTATTTTTATGAACAACCTCAAATCTCAAAAAAAAAAAAAATCTCTCCCTCTCTCTCTGTAATGCTTTTGAAATAAATAAATCTTTTAAAATTAAAGAAACCTCAAAAACATTGTAATCAATTAGGGACGAATGAAGTGGCATCACCACAACTTCGATCGATCAATTATTTAGGATCTTCAGACGTTTTCGAGAGCTGCGTCAACTCTCGTACCTGTTCAATGCCCGCTGAAAGGTCCTGCCCACGTCCTCTGATCCAGAGAATACCATGCCACTCTGGTTCTCAGTCTGTGAATCCCCTAGGAATCGGGCATCCTTGCAGCGGAAGCTGCCCTTCCCTGGGCTGGGTGCACACAGGACACTAACTTAGCGTCCAGCGCACGAATGGGAGGTTAGCAGAGCCAGCAGGCAACACTCTGAGCAAAGGTTCCTAACCCTTCGGCTTCACCTGTGATAGTCCGTTGAAGCCCAGGCATTTAAATGCATAAAATAAAATATATTGCATTACAGAAGAAGTTGGTTATGTGGAAATTTTTTTTAAAGTTTATGTATTTGTTGAAAGGCAGAGCAACAAAGAGAAAGAGACAAAGACAGAGAGACAGAGAGAAAGAGGTCTTTACCTGCTGGCTCGCTCCCCAGTGCCTGCAACAGCCGGGGCTGAGCTAGGCCGAGCTAGGAGCCAAGAACTCCATCTAGGTTTCCCAAGTGGGTAGCAGTGCCCCAAGTACTTCAGCCAGCCTGCCAGGGTGTGCATCAGCTGGAAGTTGGATGTGAGCAGAGGTGGGACTTGAACCCAGGCACGCCCATATGGGATGTAGTTGTCCACTCAGTAACGGTTTTAACCCATTGCATCACAACACCCACCCCACATACAAAAACATTTTTTAAATGATGGGGCCCAGGGGCCGGTGCTGTGGCATAGCAGGTAAAGACACCACTTGCAACACCAGCGTCCTATATGGGCACTGGTTTGTGTCCCGGCTGCTCCACTTACAACCAGCCCCCTGTTAATGTGCCAGGGAAAGCAGCAGAGGATGGCCCAAGTGCTTAGGGCCCTGCCACCCACATGGGTGGCTCCTGGCTTCGGCATGGCCTAGCCCTGGCCGTTGCATCCATCTAAGGATGGAAGATCGACTTCTCTCTCTCTCTCTCTCTCTCACTTTCTCTCTCTCTCTCTCTCTCCTACTCTGCAAGTCTGACTTTCAAAATAAATACATAAATCTTTTTAAAAAAAATTATGGGGCCGACATTGTTGCACAAGGTGTAAAACCACCGCTTTTGATGCCAGCATCCCATATCAGAGTGCTAGCTTGAGTCCTGGTTGCTTCACTGCCAATCCAGCACCCTGCTAATGTGCCTGGAAAAGCAACCAAAAAATGGCCCAAAGACTTGGGCCCCTGTCACCCACAAGGGAGACCCAGATGGAGTTCCTGGCTTCAGCCTGGCCCAGCCCCGGCCATGGTGGCCATTTGAGGAGTGAACCAGCAGATGGAAGATTCTCTCTCTCTCTCTCTCTCTGTCACTCTGCCTTTCAAACAAATTTTTAAAATTACAACATAGCAATATATAAGTTCATGGAGACATGAAGTCAGATCTGGCAGTGATGTGGCCACTGCTGTAGTCTAAGTGGTAATGAGCACGTTGTTTGGAAGTATCTACAACATTCAGTGTAGCATGAAAACATGTGCAGTTTCAGTCTGGGGACAAAGTCGCACGTCCTGATGATTCCACTGTGGTTTGTTGTCTCTTCAAGGGGTCTTCAAAAAGTTTACAGAAAACGTGTATTACAAAGAAACTCTGAATGGATTCAAAGGTTCTCTGCCCCAGACTTTGCACTAAACTTAGCTTTTAATTCCATTTTCCCACAAACTTTGTGAAGCACCCTCATATGCACAATTTAAGGAAATATTAAATTACGGTTAAAGGAGAATGAAGAAAATGCAATTTTTTTTTCCCATCCAAGTTCCTGGGACTGCAAGCTAAGGACTGCTGACTTCAGGGCTTCTACAACACTTTGTCAGTTTCTCTATTGTAAGATAGATTGTAACACTTACCCCAGTAGCAGAGGTAGTCCGCCAGGAGGAGGACTCAGAGCCAGCTAAGGGAAGCTGCTGGCCTCCAGTCTCCAACAAACACACAAGCACCTGCTCTCTGAAGACGCCCTAGCTGGACAGCAGGAAGGCACAGGCGGCTAGGACTCCGGGCTGTCACTCCGAGGGCTGGTGGATCACGGTGCCAGCAGGGGCAGAGCTACCTGCCTCCGGGGTGCTGGGTTTCCAGAGGACCAGACAGAACTAGCAGATCTTAGCTCCCTGAGGCTCTGAATCTCTGGAAAAGAGAAAAGCAGTGGTAAAGGGGGGGTGGTGGGGGCTGTGGTGTGGTGTAGCACATACAGTCACTGCCTGTGATGCCACTTCCCACATGGGCGCTGGTTCAAGCCCCGGCTGCTCCACTCCTGATCCAGTTCCCTGCTTGCGACCTGGGAAAGCAGTGGAAGATGGCTCAAGTCCTTGGGCCCCTGCACCTGCGTGGGAGACCCAGAAGAAGCTCCTGGCTCCTGGCTTTAGCCTGGCCCAATGCCAACGGTTTCAGCCATCTGGAGAGTGAACCAGTAGGTGGAAAATCTCTCTTTATCTCTGTCTCTCCCTCTCTCAGTGTAACTCTGATTTTCAAATAAATAAATAAATCTTAAAAAAAAAAAAGAAGAAGAAAACAAAACAGCCAGCAAAGGAACACTGCCAGCTCCTGCAAATCCACCTCCTGCTGCTCTCGGATTTCTACTCCGGGTCACAGCTATCTGGTTTGTCCAGTTCTCAAGTATTTTAAACAAAGCTTTTGCACTTGGCTCAAAACACCCACCCTGTGCCCTGCGCGCCACGTGGCCGGTTCCACTCCACTGCCTGTGAGTCCGGCAGAGCCGCAGCAAGCTGGGTCTGTCCTGTCTGTGCTGGGCGGGCACACACTGCTGGGAGCAGCACTTGGGAGTCTGGACTCCTCGGGGCACATTCATCTGCTGGCTGGGTCTTACTTCAGAGACACGGGGGCTAATGATCCTGCGCACTGCTCCCCCAAGCCCAGGCCTGCAGGCTCCCGGTCTAGGTGTGGGAGGCACCCCCACCCCGGGGGGAGCAGGAGCTCGGTGCCATTCACCCCTACTGCATCCACCTGAACTTTACTTCCTTTTCCAGATCCGTCCATGAGTCACTCAGCCAATACCTACCTGTTGGGCGCCTTCCCAGTGCCAAGCACTGTTTCAGGGCCATGACCTGAGTATGTGGCTGGATGCAGAACCTGCTTCTAACAAAAGCACAAGGCTAACTCAAAAAGTTCGGGGAAGGATGCCACCAGAAGTTAGTTTCAGTGGACAAACATTTTGAAATCCTTGCAGCGTTTTTACATGCTATGCATTTTCCCTGAGGTTTTGGAAGGCGCCTCGAGTGATGCAGCTCACAGTGAGAGTCCATGGGGGACACGCACGGTGGGGGAGACCACAGCAGGGGTGCAGCAGGAACGGGCGGGGTGGGGGGGACAGCAGGAAATGACTGTAGCAGGAAGTGGACTCGGGGTGGGGGTAGCATGCTGCTCCTGCCTCCAGCTTCCCGCCAACGCCCCCCTGGGAGGCAGCGGTGATGGTTCAAGCTGCTGGCTTCCTACTACCTACGTGGGGCACCCAGGTGGGGCTCCAGGCTCCTGGTTTTGGCCTGCTGCAGCCCTGCTGTTGCAGGCACTTGAGTAGTGAATGAGCAGATAGAAGATCTCTCTCTCTCTCTCTCGCTCTCTCTCACAATCTGTTGTCCTGTGTTTCAGATAAATAAAAAAAAAAGCTTTTTTTTTTTTTTTTTTTAAGAAAGGGGATGAGTTTCAGTTCAGAAAGATACCACAGAGGGCGGTGGCACTGTGGAATCTGAATCACCAGGCCACACACCAACAGCAGCCTGCGTTTGTGGATGTGGGATTCAGCATGCAAACGTCTGGCTGCTTCATTATGTCTTCTACCAGTTTCCATAGACAAGTCCACCTTGTGTTAGTGTAACTTACTCTCTCTTTAGTTCTCTTTTTATCACAGTCATAACATTGTACCACCATGACAGTTAATTATATGTGTAGGTAGGTTAGATTACATATGAATATTATTTCAGAGTAGTAAAAGGTAAGATACAAAATATTTTCTATGAAGAGTGAGCATTGGGTCTCATGAGTTTAAGAGCCACTGCACGGGGGTCCACACTGTGGCGTAGTGGACTTAGCCTCCACCTGCAGTGCTGGCGTCTCATATGGGCACCAGTTCGTGACCTGACTGCTCTTCTTCCGATCCAGCTCTCGCCTATGGCCCGGGAAAGCAGTGGAAGATGGTCCACGTGCTTGGGCCCCTGCACCCACATGGGAGACCCAGAAGAAACTCCCGGGTCCTGGCTTTGGATGGGCATAGCTCCGGCTGTTGTGGCCATTTGGGGAGTGAATCAGTGGATGGAAGACTTCTCTGTCTCTCCCTCTCTCTGTCAGTAACTCTACCTACCTTTCAAAAAAGTAAATAAAATATTTTTTTAAAAAAAGTGTAATTCTTCTCTCTGTCTCTCTCACTGTCCACTCTGCCTGTCAAAAAAATAAAATAAAATAAAATAAAAAAGTGTAATTCTTTAAAAAAAAAAAAAAGAACCAATGCATTACATGATTCCATTATATCGAAGGTCAATTACCTAATTTTCTCATGGATTTTTCACATACTATTGAGTTTGACGAACGGGGCAGAGAACAGAGAGCTGGTGGGTGGCTGTTTTCAGTGGTGTTGGTTTGGGTTTGGGGGCTTTGGTTGGTCAGATCAGTTGTTCAGGCAATGAATTCCGGTTTGCTCTGATTTCCAGGTTATGACTGAGACTGACTGGGGATGGCCTAAAGCACCCCAGCTGCAGCCTCCCCTCTCTTGAACAAGCTCTGCTGCCTGTGACATCTGCACGCTGGGACTGGTTCGCGTACAGGCTTCGTGGCACCTGCCAACTTGGAGATTCCCTTCTGTGTTCCACCTTGCGAATCGCTCAGAATCACTCCAGCGGTTCCTCGCTGAGTCTGTTTCCCCAAGACAAGATGTCCTTATGTGACAATTTATGCTTTAAAGCTTTAGTGGTTTTGTTTTTGAGTAAATTTCTCCCCAGCTTGTTGCAGTTCATTTCTCAACAATGTTGCAGTGGATTCCTTTCTGAGAGGAGGAGCGTGGTGGGGGCAAGAGGCTCACAGAGCTGGCTTGAGGCAAGCAGCCAGAAGACTCATTTATTTCAGTTAGTACAGCAGCTTATATAGCCAAGACCAGCCAATCCGGTCAAGGGGCGGTCTATGCCCAACCAATCACAGCCTGTTGCCAGGCAGTTTCCAAAGCCATCCAATCACAGCCTGTAGCCAGGCAGGCTCCATTGCCAGGTGGGATTCAAAGCCATCCAATCACAGCCTGTTGCCAGGCAGGCTCCATTGCCAGGTGGGATTCAAAGCCATCCAATCACAGCCTGTTGCCAGGCAGGCTCCATTTGCCATGTGGGATTCAAAGCCATTCCTGAGTAACTGACGCTCGCTTGCCAGGGGCCACCTTAGCATGGCCTTCTCATTCCACCACACCAGCTGATACTGGCTTTTAGGGCAGCAGGTGGAGTTCATGAGCAAGCTGAATGGACCCAAGGCAAGAACCAAGAGTGTGAGCTATGGCTGTTCAGGCCCCAGCACTATGAATCCAGACAGAGCAGGCTTCCACACAGTCTCTTCTGCCCACCCATCCAGCGGGAAATCAAAGCCCCCATTGAGTTCTTTTCCACATTCTTTGAAACATGGATAAACCAAGCATATGTCTCTCTCGAATGCTTGTAATTTGTGTGACGTTTTAGAAGGGAACACCGCAGGTAAAAGCATTATGGGAGGGGCCGGCGCTGTGGTGTAGTAGGTTAAGCCTCCACCTGTGGTGCCGGTTCGTGTCCTGGCTGCTCCTTTTCTGATCCAGCTCTCTGCTGTGGCCTGGAAAAGCAGTGGAAGATGGCCCAAGTGCTTGGGCTCCTGCACCTGTGTGGGAAACCTGGAAGAAGCTCCTGGCTCTTGGCTTTGGATTGGCTCAGCTCTGGCTGTTGCAGCCACCTGGGGAGTGAACCAGCGGATGGAAAACCTTTCTGTCTCTCTTCTCTGTCGGTAACTCTACCTCTCAAATAAATACAAATCTTTCCAAAAAAGGATTCTATGAAGGTTCACTTGTGTGTTTCCTACACTGTTCTCTGTCTCACCCCACAATGGCAGGCCTGCACATCACAGCCCTCAGAGGTGACAGAGCGAGTGTGAGGATGACATTCTTCACACGCACACACACGCTGGGCGGCGTGGAGGACTGATAGGGCCCAGAGCGGGTTGTACCCAGGCGCCATTGGCAGCGTGGCTGAATGGACAGTGAGGAAGAGGAAAGCGAGTGGCAGGAGGGAGCCGGAAGTGCCCACGGCTGCTTCCACCCCCCAGGGAAGCAGCCCCGGTTCGCCATCCTGCAGACAAACTCTGCAGCACCGAGCTGGCCGCTCTGACGCCCTGACCCGCCTCTCCCCACCTCCCTCTCCCTCTGCAGTTCCAGCTCCCACACTGAGCGCATCCACTATCCCCTCAGCACATCACACAGTCCTCCGCGACCACGCATCTGCCCCGCTCTTCCGGGGGCCCAGCCAGACCCCACTGACGCCGGGCAGCAAGGGGACAGTCAAGAGGGCTGGGCTTGGGGCCCGGCCACCCGGTGAGTAGCTACGCTCTGCCACTTAACTAGGCGTTGGACAAGGAACCCAAGCCCTTTGGGACTTAACAGAAGGCAGAGAGAAGCCCAGCACCCACTTCGAGGAGCTGCTGTGATGACTAAATGAGTTCATTCACCCGAAGGACTGGGTGCTCGGTGCTGAGCACTAGGGACTCAGTGAATGTCGGACGGCAGCCGTTGGAGGAGCATCACGGTTATTCTTGTCATGCTGAAGGGCCCGGTCAACAGCTCACTAATTCCAGAACCTTCTCCTTACTTACTACCAAAGTCAGCTAGCCTGCCATCTTTACTCCCTTCCACTTGGCATATTGCTCTGTGGTGACCTGACTTGACTCTGGCTTGTGTCTGAGTCGGTGTCTCCCTGCCAGGGATGGCATGGGCTAGCAGCGATTCCCACCTTGAAGGGAGGAAGCCGTGGCCACTGTGACGTGTAGGTTTACCCACCTAATGCGGGAAGCCATGACTACTGTGATGTATAGATTTACCCACCTTGAAGGGAAGAAGCTGTGACTAGTCACTGCAGTGTGTAGGTTTACCCACCAATTCAAGTAGGGCAGGAAACGTGGTCAGGGGGTGTCAGCCTTCAGAAATCTGAAAAGCACAGGGCAACCTGAGTCATTTCAGAATTCGAAAAGCACACTAGGGATTACCGCTCTGGGGCAATCTCAGGCAGACTTCCCCATGTCACAGCTTGAATAATGAAATCTCCCAGGTCCTTTTTCTATTATCTAGGCCAGTCACTCCCTCTCTCACTCAACACACTTCTAAATTTTGTTTACTGCATCCAAGCCACGGTGTCGGCAGGCTCCGTCCACCCACATGGAGCTTTGCCATAATCCACTTATCAGTCTGATTCTATTTAACAATTAAAAAAATAAATAAATCCTGCACCACAGCACCACGTGGGAGGAACATGTGTCCACCAGCCACTGAGAGAAGCTCCCCACACAAACCATCCCATATCAGCATTGCTTTTGGAATTAGCTAGCCTGGGAACCAGCCCTGGTTCCTGCACATGGCCACATATTCTTGAGCCAGTGGCATAACCTCTGGGAGACTCACCAGCCGCCTCCACGCAATGGAGAAAATCATCCCACTTCACCAGCTTGTTTCAGGAACCTAGCTAGTCATCCGAGTGCAGCCCCAGCACTGGAGGAGGGTGAGTTCTGTGTTCCCTCCACTGCCCCCTGCCATGCCCCCCACAAGGGCCAAGAGCGGGAAACTGAGCCATTCTCTGGATTGGTGGAGACTCAGGCATCAGTGGGGAGTACTCCGTACGGCCAAGGCATGGAAACCCCATCCCCCATGGGGATATGTCCTGGGACACCAGAGGATGCCTGAAATTTTGGATAGAATTGTACCTTAAATACAGCATGTTCTTTCCTATCCATATATGCCTACAATAAAGTGCAATTTATAAATTAGGAACCGTAAGAGATTAACCACACTTACTGACAGCAAAGTAGAATAATTCTCACAACATATTGCAGTAAAAGTTCTTGAGAATTTAGGCATTATTTACTTCTGGAACTTGCCACGTAATATTTTCAGGCCACAGTTGGCAGCTGGTAATGGAAATGGCAGAAAGCGAGATGGCTGGGTAGAGAGGACTGCTGACTCCCGCATTCCCCCCGGGTCTCTCTCCAGTCATGCCGCGTCCCAGTGGGCGTTGGGCATCCAGACACAGGGGGCCACGGTGCTCTATGCATCAACTGTACGACAGCATCTTAGTAGTCTTCAGGTGTCAAGCACCTGGTCCTGAGGGCATGGAAACCAGCGAGACTTCACAGCCAAGGTGTGCACAATCCAGCCGAAAATGTGCACTCAAGCAACACCATCACAGCTTGCTTGGCTGCACCTAACAACCCAAGGTCTACCGAAAAGGAGCAGGCTCAGAGGAAGGTGTGGTCTGCTCCACGTGGAGAGGGCGGAAAGGGCTCCCAGGGGAGACACTTGAGGAGAGCTTGGCCAGCGATGGCAACATTTAGTGCTGGGCTGTAAGCTGGAAACAATGCTTGCCCGCCCTCCTCAGCCCAAAGCAAAACTTGACCTTGGCTTGTAGATCTGGCCAGGGGGAAAAGTGCAAGAAATGCCAGGCTGAGGGAGAGGAGACACAGGAGGATGGGAGCAGAGACATTCCTTATTTGTAGGCTACTTCTTCCACTCAGTTATTGATGAATTAAATGCTAAGGGTTTTGCATTTTTTGGTGCATAAAAATTCATGCATATACTGGGATTTTCAGAAAGGTCACGGGAGATACACAGTAGAGAAAAGCTATGCCCGCAGGACAGCATCACCCACGTTTGTGGTGGCTCTGGGGCCAGGCAGCCCACTACCCTCCTGTCAGCCGTATACAAGTCAGCACGCACACCTGCACACAGCACATAATCCTTAACAGTGATAACAAGTGCTTCGCTTACTAGGCTTTGTCACATCTTAGAGGGCACCCCTTCTGCTTGTATAAACAGCACCCAGAACAGCCGGCCATGCTTTGCTGTCGGTGGCTTCCCACACCCGTGCTTACTGCATTGGTCGCATCAAGAGAGTGCGTCCAGTGATGGACCGTGAGGGCACTCTGTGACACTGCATGACAGTGAGCCAGCCAGGGCCGAGTGTTTCAGCAGCTGCCCCCATTGTCAAGGGACACACAGCTGTCACCCCTGGGCAGCCCCTCTTAGATCAAAGGAAACCAGCTTTCGCCATCTCGCTGAGACAGAGGGGAAGAAATGACGCCGGGCAGGCGCGGCCACAGACCGTGACTGTCGTCACCACGGGGAGGCTCAAGGGAAACTGCTAGCCACACTCTCACGGTGGTGGTGGTGGGGGGGGCGGCACAGCTCATTTCAGGGCCCCGCTCCACGCCCCTGCTACTTGACCACAGCTGTTTCCTCCAGCAGGCTCGGTTTCAGCCTGTAGCCCGGGGCTCTCTGCCGATATGCAGGGAAACAGGTGCCTGGCCACACAGACCTTGAAGTTTTACCTAACCAAGTACCAGCACTCCATACCTGGCTCCGGCTCCTGCCAGTGCTGACCCTGGAAGGTCAAGTTCCTGCAACCCCTGTGGGAGGACCTGGATCGCTCTCAGCTTCAACGGTTACAGGCAATCAGGGAGTGAACAAATGAATTGGAGCACCATTTCTCCCTCTCTCTCTCTCTCTCTCCCTCTCTCTCTCTCCCTCTCTCTCTCTCCCTCTCTCTCTCTTCCTCTCTCCCTCTCTCCCATCTCTCAAATTAAAAAAAAGAACAGGAAATTTTTACTGCTACTTTCTTTACTATTTCACCTGCAGATTCTTCTTTTTTTAAAAAAAATATTTATTTATTTCAAAGGTGGAGTTATAGAGAGGGAGAGGCAGGGGAAGAGAGAGAAGTCCTCCATCTGCTGGCTCACTCCCTAAATGGCCACAATGGCCAGGGCTGGCCCAGCCCAAAGCCAGGAAGCAGGAACTTCATCCAGGTCTCCCACTTGGGTACAAGGGCTCAAGCACTTGGGCCATCTTCTACTGCTTTCCCAGGTGCGTTAGCAAGGAGCTGGATCATAAGTGGAACAGGGCCTGGCACTGCGGCTTAGCAGGTGAGGCCGCAGCCTGCATCCTATATGGGCACTTGTTCAAATCCCAGTTGTTCCTCTTCTGATCCAGCTCTCTGCTTTGGCCTGGGAAAGCAGTGGAAGATGGTCCAAGTGCTTGGGACTTTGCACCTGTGTGGGAGTTCCTGGCTTCAGATCGGCTCAGCTCTGGCCTTTGGTGCCGTTTGGGGAGTGAGCCAGTGGATGGAAGATTTCTCCCTCTTTCTCTGCCTCTACCTCTCTGTAACTCTGACTTTCAAATAAAATAAAATAAATATTAAAAGAAGAAGAAGAGGAGGAGGAGCAGCAGGACTTGAACCAGTGACCATTTGGGACTCTGAAGCTGCAGCTGTGGCTTAACTCACGGTTCCAGAGCAAAACAGCAATAAACTGCATGTAGAAAATTTATGCACGAAAGAAGAAATCAAGTAACACTCTACCACCTTAAAAAATCACCCCAAGGAGTGGCCTCTAGCCAGCAGCTAGACGCTGGTATGTGTGTCATGCTGGGAAGGCTGTGTTCTGCTCCTGGCTCTGACTCCTGGTTCCAGCTTCCTGTTAATGCAGACCCTGGGGGGCAGTGATGGCAGCTCAGTGGCTGGATCCCTGCACTCATGTGGGAGACCCAGGCTGGCCCAGCCTCAGCAGTTGTGGACATCTGGGGAGTGAACCAGGGCAGGGAAGCACTCGCTCTTGCTCTCTCTCTCTCTCCCTCTCTTTCTCTCTAACACATTTAAAAACATTTTTTTAGAGGCTGGCACTATGGCATAGTAGGGTAAGCCTCCACCTGCTGTGCCAGCATCCCACATAGGTAGAGAGTCCTGGCTGCTCCACTTCCTGTCCAGCTCTCTGCTATGGCCTAGGAAATCAGCAGAGGATGGCCAAGTGCTTGGGCCCCTGCACCCATGTGGGAGATCCAGAAGAAGCTCCTGGCTCCTGGCTTTGGATTGGTCCAGCTCCGGACACTGTGGCCATTCGGGGAGTGAACCAGTGGATGAAAGATCACTCACTCTATCTCTCCCTCTCTATATGTAACTCTTACCCCTTCAAATAAAAATAAATCTTTAAAAATTTTTTTTAAAAAAATTCAAACCCTATAGCTTTTAGATAGTATTTTTCCATTTTGTTTTTAACTAGCTTTGAAGTTACTCCATCCATACCATTAAAATCATTATAATCCCACATTTTAAATGTATGTTACTCAATAAAATTGAATTCAGCCTTCATCTAATTTATCATGTGCTTTTGTTGCCCGTCTTTAATGTCATCAGTTTAAGAGGTTACAATAACCAACAATCTCCCCGTCCTGCCCCCAGGACCACCTCTCCCCGGGTTGGGCCCCCTCCTACCTTTGCACCTGCTTCAGGGAACCTCTCTGGAGATAAGGAAGTCCCTTCTGGTAGCTGGAGAAGAACTGACGCATTTCCCTTTCCTCCCTGCTGGCCCCAGGCCACGCTGTGTGGCCAGCCCTGCCACCAGGCTGCTCTACCTCCTCCCGGGCCCCAAGGGCGAAGCCACCAGCACCACACGGGGGTGTTTCAGCTCTAACCACACCGATGCTGGTGTTCAGAGCGTGTGCCCCCTCCCCAGGCGAGCCCCCCGGAGACCTGGACTTGAGGTCCAGTGGCCTCCATCGCCACAGGTTTCACCCTGACCTCAGGCGTAAATGGACTCCCCACATCTCCAGTCACATCTGCTGGCCCAGGAAGGCAGGCACAGCTTGCCAAGGGGCCCCAGACTGAGCGCACCCCTAGTAAGAGACAGCATGAAGCACTTTCTGCCCCACTTCCACTCACTCTCTACCCTGACCGGGCACACTTTGGTGCCCTTGTGCTTTGCGTAATGGAATCCTTCGCTTTTCACTCTTTCCTGTCTGGCTCCTTCTGGTCAGCACTGAGTGTGGAGGAGCCTTACCTTCGCATGGGGTCGTCGTTCGCCCACTCTCACAGATGCGTTTCACAGTACAGACGTAGAGAAAGCATTCACTTCCGGCAGGGGTAATGAGCGTTTGTGTTATCCGTAATTTTTTCTGCCGTGATGAATGTCACCACAAACATCTTCGAAACGCCTCTCGGGTAAATATTTGCACAGGTTTCTGTTGAATGCGCGCCCAGGAGTCGGGATGCTGGGATCCAGGTCAGGAACAGGATCCGCTGTAGCAGAAGCTGGCCACGTGGCTGTGCCCGCTGATGCTCCTACCAGCACCACGGTCTGACCGCTTCACATCCTCGCCCGCCCACCTGATGCCGCCTGCCTCTCTCATTGTGCCTGCCCGGCTGCGTGTGTCGTGGTCTCACAGCGGGATCTCGACAGATTGCTCTGTGTAGCTGAGAGGTTCGAACTCCTGACTCCAGCTTCCTGCTACAGCAGACCCTGGGAGACAGCAGTAGCCCAAGTGAATGGGTGCTGGGTGCTTGTCACCCACCTGGGACAGCTGCCTTGTGTTCCCCAGCGCCTGGCTATGCCCCAGCCCCACTGCCAGCCATTGAGGCATTTGGGAAGTGAACTAGAGGATGAGAACTCTGTTCTCTCTCTGGCTCACTAATGAAAACAAAAACAGTTAAAAAACTAAAACTTAATGTTTACTGGATTCACAGTTGACCGTATTGCTTCAAAATAAACACACGTTTGGAATACAAAGAGAATTGTTCCCGCTGGGTGTGGGGAGGGCATAAAGGAGTTTGGACATCACTGGCCTTGGACTGAAAGGACACAGATGCAGGAGTTGGCAGGTCTGAACGCAGGTGGGTGCTGAAATGGAGGGGTATAAATTACAGCAAATTGGAAAGCAAAGTAGGTGACACAGGGCTGGCCAGGGGGTGAGGTCAGAGAGGTCAGATCAGCAGAGGGGGTGGAGGGGTGGCTGAGCTGGAGAACGGGACAGGAGCCAGACTAACAGGATGGACATGGCAATGGAGCCACCACGGAAACCTGCAGAGGGCTGTGTGTGTTTGGTGGGGCGACTTCACCCTTGAGTGTCCCTGCCCTGGAAACCCAGAGGCGGCCAAACACTGGTCCTGGGTAAAATGTGTACAGAGGTGATGTACACGGGAACTCATGCCAGCACTCTGTCCCTGTGCCTCAGTGATTCCAGAGATGGCTGTCCCATCAGTACAGAAGACACGAGTCGGTGGGACCAGCATTGTGGTGCAGAAGGTTAAGCCACCCACCTGTAATGTCATCATCCCATAGAGGTGCTGGTTCGAGTCCCGGCTGCTCCACTTCCCATCCAGTACCCTGCTGTTGTGCCTGGGAAAGCAGCGGAGGATGCCCAAGTGCTTGAGCCCCTGCCACTGGATGGAGTTGCTAGATCCTGACTTCCAGCTGGCCCAGCCCCAACAATTTTAGCCATTTGGGAAATGAACCTGCAGATGGAAGATCTCTTTCTCTCTCCCTCTCTCTCTGCCTTTCAAATAAACAATTACTTTTAAAAGAAGACATGGGTTGTATAACATGAGTGACAAGCAGGTCTTTGTTGTCATCAACCACCGGAAGTTGACGTTTATCAGCAGGCCACACCTATCCACCTAGCCTGACCGCTGTGCTGTGTGTTTTTTCATATACACATAATTGACAGCTAAGCATGATATCAACCAGTCTAAACACAAAGCCAGCTGGAGCCCTTGCTGTGCTGAGAGCCATACATTAGCAACTGGACTTGGGGATGGGGTCCAAGGAAGGGGCCATGGTAGCCATAGCAACAGCTCTTTCCAGTTGGCATGGAGATATTCCACCACTATGGTGCCCCTGCCTCCTTGATCACCAGAGGGCTGACCTAAATATAGGCACGTCTTAGCTAATCTCTTTAGCACACGATTTCTCGGCACAGGACTCTCACTCCAGATAAGTGTCAGGAGGAGCTTCTTTTCTTTTCCATTATGTTACACTCATTGGACTTGAGTGTTTTGACATTGCCGCCGTTGTCGTTGTCATCTTCTTCTATTAGGATTATTGTTGTTGTTATAGTTGACCCCATGTGACATCCCAGTAACACACTCCTAGACACAGCGAAAGGAGGGAAAATCTCAAGTAGCCACGGAATGGGATTTGGGCTGTGAACGGCTTCAGACTCGGGGAAGCCACCGGGAGACATCGTTGAAGTCATGCGCTGATAAAGAAAGGCTCAGTGATTCCGGTCCCGAGTTCAACAGAGTGTGTAGTTAGACTTGACTGGAACAGAGAAAGGCGGCATGCTGCACCTGCTAATCTACGACTGACGCCCAGATTCAAAAGCAAACCCAGGCTTCACACCCCTGAGTTACTGCAGAAAACCGAATGTTATTTTGAACACAGAGATCCCCGCGCAGCTATGAGTCAGTGTGCCCATGCCCCAGCGCCTCTGAGGGATCCGAAATCTTGGCGGGAGGGAGGCGCTGGAAATGGTAGCTATGACCTGCCAACCGCCACGTTGACTTCAAAGTCCTTCACCCTGCGACCGAACACCACTGGGCAGAATACCACACCATGCCCCCGCGTTCTCCCAAGTACCACACAACCCCCGAGCCTAGATATTCAAGCCCTCTGAATTACAAGAACCAGTTTTTAAACAAAAAACTATCCCAAAGACCAGCGTTGTGGTGCAGTGAATTTTGCTGCTTGCAAAGCTGAATCCCCTATGGGAGCACTGCTTAGCGTTCTGGCTGCCCTCCTTCTGATCCAGCTCCTTGCTCAGACACCTGGGAAGGCAGTGGAAGAAGGCTCAAGAACCTGGGCCCTGACACCCACTGGAGAGGTTCAGATGCAGTTCCTGGCTCCTGACTTCAGCCTGATCCAGCCCCGGCTGCTGCAGGCATCTGGAGGAGCAAACCAGTGGATGCACGATTCCCTCCCTCTCTGCCTTTCAAATAAATAAATAAATCTTTGAGAGAGGAAAAACAAAAGACCATGTCTTAGAGACTTTGTAGCCCCCACCGAGCTCAGAGCCTGACACTGAGCGAGTGCTGGATATACGGTTGTTGGATGAGTGAACAGATCAACACAAGAACTCATCCACTTGTTAGGCACACTCAAAATGCCACCTCCCATGATAAATGTCTCTTGATGGCTGCAATTGGAGGGTGGTACCCAATCCACAGGAGCTGAGTCACACACAATATTTTTACATGCACATTTGCATGTTTTCGGCTGATTTGCATGCATGCGACTAATTCTCTTTAGATCTAAGTTGCACTGCCATTCAGGCGGCTCACTGGGCTTAGCAAGTTTCTAAGGGACAGTGGAGCAAATTCACTCCCTTCAGTGAAAATGTCCCGCGAAAACCTGTGTATTCTTGCCTTGCACATAGTTCTAAGACATTGAATTAGTGGGACTGCAGATCCACCCCAAAGGAGCAGAAGGAAACAAGAGTTAAAAAGCCTGGGGGCTGGCGCCGTGGCTCACTTGGTTAATCCTCTGCCTGCGGCACCTGTATCCCATATGGGCACCAGGTTCTAGTCCTAGTTGCTCCTCTTCTAGTCCAGCTCTCTGCTGTGGCCCGGGAGGGCAGTGGAGGATGGCCCAAGTGCTTGGGTGCCTGCACCTGTATGGGAGACCTGGAAGAAGCTCCTGGCTCCTGGCTTTGGATCGGCACAGCGCCGGCCGTGGCAGCCATTTGGGGAGTGAACCAACAGAAGGAAGACCTTTCTCTCTGTCTCCCTCTCTCACTATCTAACTCTATCTGTCAAATAATAATAATAATAATAATAATAAAAAAGCCTGGGGGCTGGTGCCCTGGCATAGCAGGTGAGGCTGCTGTCTGCAGTGCCTGCATCCCATATGGGTACTGAGTCCTGGATGCTAAACTTCCACTCCAGCTCCCTCCCCGCTAATGGCCTGGGAAAGCAGTGGAAGATGGCCCAAGTCCTTGGGCCCCACACCCTTGTGGGAGACCCGGAAGAAGCTCCTGGCTCCTGGCTTCAGATCAGCCCAGCTCTCGCTGTTGTGGTCATTTGGGGAGTGAACCAGCAGATGGAAGACCCCTCTCTCTCCCCTCCCCACCCCGCTCCACTGTAACTCTGCCTTTCAGATATATATATATATATATATATATATATATATATATATATACTTAAAAAAGCTTATTTGGCTCAGGGCCACAGAGGGCAGAGGACAGGGAAAGGATAGGCGAGGACAGCTAAGTGGTCTCAGGTGAGGCTGGCAATGGCAGGAGGTCACACAGCAACATCAGAGTCACATGTGCACTGAGGGGCAAGAATGACACACTGACCGGGTGAGTCGAAGCCAGAGAGTAAGATGGGGCCTGAAAACCTAAGTCAAGTTCAGAAGCGGAGGCGCAGGAGAGCAGGTGCTGCAGAACCACCCGTCTGCCCGGTGCCTCTCCTTGGTCAGGTGCAGCATACAGGACAGAGCGCCCCAGGCCGGTCACTGCTCTGTCCTCTCAGCAGCTCTCTGTGGCCCACAAGGGGGCAGGCAACCGCCATGTCCCCCACTCCCCAGTTCTCTCTGTTCGGATCTGAGGCAAGGCTAACACCTGTGGGTATGGGGATCCATGGACTCATTAAGTAAATGATGTGTCTGATGAATTCAAAAGGGAGAGAGAAGGAGAGAGAGAGAGATCTTCCATATGCTGGTTTACTCCCCCCCAATGCTTGCAACAGCCTCCAGGCCTCCCACACAGGTGGCAGGGATCAAGGACTTGGCCCATCCTCTGCTGCTTCCCCGTGCACATCAGCAGGGAGCTGGATTGGAAGTGGAACAGCCGGGACTGGAACTGACGCCTGATACGCGATGCTAGGGTCCCAGGCAGCAGGTTCACCTGCCATTCAGCATGAGCAGAAGGGGATCCATCTAGAACTCACGCACTAGATGGAGAGACCATAAACACAAACTTCCAAGGCGAGAAAGGCGCGGAGGGTGGAGAAGAGGAGGAGGTGGTGTCAGAGAAGGCCTCCTACAGAGGGGATTTTAGAGCGAGGATGGGTTCAAGTCTATTCACCCAAATGCCAGCAGGAGTAAGCTGTGGTCTGACAACAGCGGGGCAGACTCACAGCAAAGCCAACAGGGGACAGGGGATGGGGGGGTTAGGCTCCCTCCCAGGGGCTCTACTAAGACCCTGAGGACAGCCCAGCTGGTCACAGCAGGGTGTGACCCCCGCTGAGAGGCACCAACCTGGAGGCAGGGCTGCTGACGAGTGCAGAGTGGGCTCCTCACGGTCAGCTCGTCCTGGGACTGGGTTCTGAAGTGACAGCTCAACTTCAAGGGCTCGGTGGAATCAGAAAAAGCGACCCCAGAGCCACAGTTCTGCGCACCTGCAGACAGGTGCACAGGCGGCACGAGCAAGTCCCACAGAGGCCCTGGGGTGTGCAGCGCTGGTCTGTGGGTTCACTGCTAAGGCAGCCCGGAAGGGCGCGGTGTGGCACACTTTTCCCACCCAAAGTATTTTTTTTTTCTTTTAATGGTGCTTAAAAAGGAGAAATTCTCATTTACCGTATATATGAGAAACTTGCCTCTCCAAGGGAAATTTTGTTCCAGGGGCTCAGGCGTCCGAATCCCGGGCCCCCAGGCGCCTGGCCCCAGCCACTCCAGCGCGTGCCGCCTTCAGTCGCGGGAATCACTACCGCCTCGAGGGCTGGAAAGACCGCCGGACTCGGAGACCTCAATCGCGGCGACTGCGGCGGCAGGGACTAGGCGGGCAGCGGAGCAGCGGCACGGTGGGCGTGGCCCGCGCTGGGGGCGTGGCCGACTGAGGCCGCGGGGACTCTGCGAGCGACAGAGGAGCGGGGGCGGTGGGCGTGGCCTGCGGCTGGGGGCGTGGCCGGATCTTGGGGCGTGGCGCGTGGGGGAGGAACACGGGGGCGGCTTGCCGTGGGTGGGCGGGGCCTGCGTACGCCTGCGCAGTCCGCTCTACTCAGGGAGGCGGAGGCGACGAGCCGGAGGGAAGATGGAAGACTACCAGGGTGCTGAGGAGGTAACCGCCCGATCGGTGTGACGGAAGGGTGGAGGAGAGAGAGTCCGGGCGCGGCTGGGGCCTGGCTGCCCTCTTCCCGCGCCGGCTGGTCCGCCGTTGTCCGCGGCTCCAGGCTAACGGGCGGCGGCGCCGGGCGGCGCGGGGCGCTGCCCCGGTGTCCCGGCCTCGGGGCGGCCGACTGCTTCCCGTGCAGGCTGCCCTCGGAGTCCTCGGAGCGCAGGCTGCGGGGGATGACGTGACCCCAGCCCCAGCCCGGAGAGGCGCGCGCGGGGCCGGGGCCCGAGGGCCGGGCGGGCTGCGGCGCGGCGGCGCTGGGGGGCAGCGCCCGCCTTTGTCTGCGGGCGCCGCGGCCGTGGCCGTGGCCGTGGGTTTGAGCCCAGTGAAGGGGCTGCTCGTGGGGGCGCGTGGACGCCGGTCGTGGGGAGCAGCCCCCTGGGTGCGGTTCCGAGCAGGGGCTGCGCGCCGTGGGCAGAGAGGCGAGGCCGGACGCTTTGACGGGCTTCGAACTGGAGCTGGAAGGTTCCGAGGGGGCGAACGGCTGGGCCTGACGGACGCACGGTGGGGGTCCGGTTTGCACTTTGCCTGGAGGGTCGCAAAGGCAGCCTGTGACTGGCAGCAGGGGAGTCCCTAGGAGAGGGGTTCAGGGGCTCCCCGGGGGGCTTGTGCCTCAGCGAGGCCGAGCCGCCCCTTAACCAGGGGGAAGCTGCAGTGTGGGCGAAGCTGCGTCCCGAACACACCTGCCCGCCGGCTGTCACCGCGGGTGCTGAAACCCGCCTTTCAAACGCGAGGGACCCCCCCAGTCCCACCAGCCCCCTGGCCCCTCGCCTAAGACCTGCGTACAGGGTCGCTGCGTGTGGTTGTGTTCTCAGCTCCTGGTTTCGCCTTCTTGTGGAAGCCGGGACCGTGCAGCGCGCCCACGGCCACTCTGCTTTCCACTGAGCACCTTAGAATGTCCCTTAGCCCCCTCCCCGCCTTAACCACACGGGAAGGTGTTCAGGAGCTCTCCTTTGCGGGTTAGGGTCGCTGCAGTCACATGGAAGGATCCTTTCAACCCTGGATCGCTGGAATCGCTCAGAGACTGCAAGTGCTGGTTAACTGGCTGGCTTGGTTTTGTCCGCGTGTCCAGTGTAGCAAGTGAGACGGCTTTGGGCCAGCCGCTCTTGGTCCTCCTGAAAGGAGCGGTCCTCTGGAACAGGGCAGGGGGAGAACTCGCTGTGTAAGCAGGGCGCTGTCTGCCTTTCTCCCCTGGGGTGCTCACGGCGGGTCCCCCGGGCCCGCCTTCCGAGAGCAGGTGCGGAGGGGAGTAGCACTCCTGGGACAGCAGTGATTTAAGTTCCCCTTCCCATGAGCAGAGGCTCACAGGCACCAGTTCTAGAACCAGGGTGCTGCTGGCGGCCCACCTCCCACCAGCCGGGGGTTGCTCCTAAAGTAGGTCAGCGTTGAGAAAATTATTATCTGGAACTAGCACGAAAAAATGTTTGTTTCTAAGATTTGTTTATTAAGGGGCCGGCGCCGTGGCTCACTTGGTTAATCCTCTGCCTGCAGTGCCGGCATCCCATACGGGCACCGGTTCTGGTCCCAGTTGCTCCTCTTCCAGGCCAGCTCTCTGCTGTGGCCCGGGAGGACAGTGGAGGATGGCCCAAGTGCTTGGGCCCTGCACCCCATGGGAGACCAGGAGGAAGCACCTGGCTCCTGGCTTCGGATCAGCGCAGCGCCAGCTGTGGCGGCCATTTAGGGAGTGAACCAACGGAAGGAAGACCTTTCTCTCTGTCTGTCTCTCACTGTCTATAACTCTACCTGTCAAATAAATAAATAAAGATTTGTTTATTTACAAGGCAGAGAGATCTCCCACCCACTGGCTCATTCCCCTAATGGCGGCAGGGCCCAGGAACTCCATCCTGGTCTCCCAAACAGGGGCGGTCCTGGGCCCTCCTCCGCTGCTTTCCCCGGGCCGTCAGCAGGGAGCCACGGAGGCAGCAGGGCAGCCGGGGCTCGAGCTGGTGCAGGTGGTGGGTTAAACGGCTGGGCCACGCCGCCGGCCCCCAGCTTTGCTGACTGTGGCGGCTTAGAGCTGCTCCTGGGTGTCAGTCCCCCGGATCTGCTCTCGTTAGGGAAGAGAGAACTCCCCCTGGAACCGGCCTTGTGGCGCAGCTTCCGTTCCCTTACACGGGAAGCCAGCAGTGCTCCTAACAGGAGAGGCGGGAGCGGGGACTGAATTCTGGTTGAAAGTGACGCTTGGATTTGGCAAGGTAAAAATGAAACAGAAAACCTCTACGTCGCAGACAGGGTTTCTGGTTCCTGGCTGTGCCCCACTCGCTCTGGTCCTCGGGGGCTGCTGGGCCCGCCCCTCCCACGGCGCCAGGCCCCCTGAGAGGACGCCCCAGCTGTTCATAAAGCAGGCAGGGGCTGGCAGCGCGCTGGGAACAGGCCTTGCGATGAGCCCCGCTGAACTGAGTTTTCTGCCCACAGACCGCCTTCGTCGTGGATGAAGTGAGCAACATCGTGAAAGAGGTAAGGAGGCCCCACCCTGTGCCCGAGTCCCGCCTCGGGCTGCGAGGGTGTTCACGGAGAGCGACCAGGGCGAGGCCAGCTGTGCGCGTCCGCCAGGCGGGGCGTCTGACACACAGAGCGTTCCACGGCGTGTTCCCAGGGCTCGACCCTGACCTTTCAGCAGAAGACTCGGGTCCCGCGAGTCAGCGTTTCCAGTGTCCGGTGGAGGACACGCGGAGGCAAAGACCGGCAGCCCACGGGCGTTCAGGGCTGCTCCGTGGCTTCTCCCACCACCAACTCGAGTTACTGTTGGAACGTGTGGGTCACCGGCTTCAGCACCCGGGAGGACAACGAGGCGAGGGACGGCTCATCGCTCACTCGGGCAGGGCCGGGGGGTGGGGAGCAGAGCAGACCGGGCCCGTGCGCCTGCAGCTCACGCAGTGGTGGGGGGAGACCGCACGCCGGTCAGAGCATCGCAGGGGAAGACAAAGCTCCCACGTGCTACGAGCGGGAGCCGAGAGCAGGGAAGGGGGACTGACGCGCATGCGTGCGCGCAGGGACTGTCCCGAGCCGAAGTCTGGAGGGGCGGGGTGAGTGAGAAGAGGTTCTGACCTGGGCACGTGCAGAGGCCCCGGGGCGGGGATGTACGTGGGCGTGTGAGACAAGGGGAGGAGGCCGGTGTGGCTGAGAGGTGCTGGCAGCAGGGATGCCTCCCCGCTGAGACTGAGTGCAGAGACACCGAAGCCCTTGGCCAGGTCATCGGATGATCTGAATTTAAGGCACCATTTGAGGTCCTGTTTGTTCCTTGGAATTGAACTTAATGCAGCTTACTTCCACGTACATCTCTGACTTCTGAGAGGCCCGCGGCCTGTTTTTTGTGTGCAGTATCTAAAGCAGAGTGCTCGGTTCAGCACCCGTGAGGTCCTGTCTCTCTGCGGGGGCTGTGACACTGTGTGTGCACACAGCAGGGAGCCGAGGGCAGCAGGCGCAGACCAGGAGTGAGACGGGCAGGAAGCCTGCGCTTGCCCCTGTTTGCTGCACTGTGTTGACTCGGTTACCAGGCAGCCGGTTCCGTTGGAAGTGCAGGGCCCAGGCGGTGAGCGCGCCCACGGCCCAGCAGCAGGAGGTGGACTCTGTGTTGGACAGCAGGACATTCGGGCAGGTCCACTGCTGGAGCAGGGCTTCCCCCATCCCTGAAAACAGTGGGTCTCCAGCTGCGGAGAGAGCTGCCAGAGGTTCAGCTTGAACGAAGCCCCCTTGACAACACCTCTGTGCCCCCCCCATCCCCTGGGGGCTGTGGGCGGGACTGCCAGGAGCCCCAGGACAGAGAGGAAGGTCTCTGGGGAGGAGCCTGGGTGTGGCCTTGGCTACAGAGCAGGGTCACCGGCTCCATGCCCGCTCTGCACACCTCAGACCCGACCACTGCTCCTCTGTGCCCGCAGCCACACGTGGCCCTCACTGAGTGGCTTTGATTTTAGGCCGTAAAAGCGCAGTTTTCTGGTTTGCAGCCAGCGGGCTAGGAAGGGGTAGGGCGGGAAGCTGCTTAGACCTGGGCGCCCTGGCAGCAGCGTGAACAGGGGCAGAGCTGCCGGGGGTGGGGGTGGGGGGGAGCCGGGAGATCCCGGTGTGGACAGCGCCACGCTGAGCGAGAGCATTCTCCAGGGAGTGTGGGATCCGCACATTTGTCACGAAGTTCAGCACATTTTGGAACGTAACAGGCTGTTCTTCAGTTATCTGGAAAGCGCTCTTACGTGGCCATAGGTCCCAGCAAGTGCTGGGTAAGAATGTTTTTGAATAGATGATCATTTGGATAGTGTGTACATTAGCTGATAAAAGTGTACCTAATATGTAGCATTAGCTGTATTAGTGTTAGATAAAAGTATCTAATATACTTTTTTTTAAAGATTTACTTATTTCTTTGAAAGTCAGAGTTAGAGAGAGGAGAGGCAGAGAGAAAGAGAAAGGTGTCTTCCATTCGCTGGTTCACTTTCCAGTTGGCTGCAATAGCTGGAGCTGCACCAATCCGAAACCAGGAGCCAGGAGCTTCTGGGTCTCCCACGTGGGCTCAGGGCCCCAAGGACTTGGGCCATCTTCTACTGCTTTCCCAGGCCAGAGCAGAGAGCTAGATCGGAAGAGGAGCAGCCGGGTTTTGAACCGGTGCCCATATGGGAGGCCGGCGCTTCAGGCCAGGGCGTTCACCCGCTGCGCCACAGCGCCGGCCCCATATCCAATATACTTTAAAGAAAGGAACAGGCAGAGGTGTTTTCTGGCCTCAGTAGGAAAGAAGCACGTTGCATGCTCCAGGTATGAACGGCAGCAGCGCACTGAACCCAGTGGTCAGGCAGAACTTGGGACAGATTCCACGCAGCTGCTGCTGTCAGCTCAGATGAAGCAGGGCCCTGTTCAGGTGCACCCGCCGCGGGCTGCACTCAGGCTGGCGGCACCGGACTCGCGGGTGCTGACGGGGCTCTGCTTTGCAGGCTATAGAGAGCGCCATCGGTGGGAACGCGTACCAGCACAGCAAGGTGAACCAGTGGACCACCAACGTCGTGGAGCAGACGTTGAGCCAGCTCACCAAGCTGGGGAAACCGTTCAAATACATCGGTAAGGGGTTTGCTTCTGACCTGTTGTGGGGGGGGGGGGAGTCTTTACCTCACAGTGCCAGGAGAGAGCTGGTGTGATAACTCCCCGCCGTCCCTGGAGCAGGTCATGTGTGTAGTGCACTCGGCCTGCTCAGCCCCTGGCCCCGTCCCAGGGCACAGGCCACGTGTGTAGCGCACTCGGCCCGCTCGGCCCCCAGCCCCATCCCCGTCCCAGGGCACAGGTCACGTGTGTAGTGCACTCGGCCTGCTCGGCCCCCCGGCCCAGTCGCAGGGCACAGGTCACGTGTGTAGTGCACTTGGCCCGCTCGGCCCCTGGCCCTGTCCCCATCCCAGGGCACAGGTCACGTGTGTAGTGCACTCGGCCAGCTCGGCCACCAGCCCAGTCGCAGGGCACAGGTCACGTGTGTAGTGCACTTGGCCCGCCCGGCCGCCTGCCCCGTCCCAGGGCACAGGTCACGTGTGTAGTGCACTTGGCCCGCCCGGCCGCTGGCCCCGTCCCAGGGCACAGGTCACGTGTGTAGTGCACTCGGCCCGCTCGGCCCCCGGCCCTGTCCCAGGGCACAGGTCACGTGTGTAGTGCACTCGGCCCGCTCGGCCGCCGGCCCCGTCCCAGGGCACAGGTCACGTGTGTAGTGCACTTGGCCCGCCCGGCCGCTGGCCCCGTCCCAGGGCACAGGTCACGTGTGTAGTGCACTTGGCCTGCTCGGCCCCCGGCCCTGTCCCAGGGCACGGGTCGAGCAGGACTGCGGGACTGCCCGGCAGGTGCTTAGAGCAGGCGGCAGCGGGAGGGGCGGGCTGACTTGTCCGTCCATGGACGAGGCCTTCGTGCCTGTGCCGTGCGATGCACACACGTGCTGAGTGGGCAGGCGGTGGTCACGCGCCAGGCGTTCTCTGACAAGAGGTGCTGCTTCCAGTGACCTGCGTGATCATGCAGAAGAACGGAGCCGGGCTGCACACGGCGAGTTCTTGCTTCTGGGACAGCTCCACCGACGGTAGGCGGCTCCTCCTCCACCAGGCCGGGGCGGCAGGCTGGGGCGGGCGTCCTTAATGCGAGCGCCAGAAGGGCTCCAGAGCCTGTAGAATTGCAAATGCCATGGTGTGGTCGCGAGTGGCGCACTCCACACTGACGCGACGTGACGGGTCCCGGAACGCAGACGCACTGCAGTGAGGCCGTGTATAGGTGTGTGTGAAAGAAAGGGACTTAGCGTGCGGACTTGGGTCTGTCCCAGGATCCCTCACCCTGTGTGCGTGAACACTCCAGAACCCAGACTGCGCAAGCGTGGTGAGTAGAATCACCTTGGACAGAGGCTTGCCAGGCCTGTGTCCCACGGAGAGGTGGGTGCCGGGGGTGGCCCGGGGAGAAGTCTGCACACGCCGCCCACTTTGCCGGTGGTCAGCGCCGCTCTGCTTTTCCGCAGGGAGCTGCACCGTGCGATGGGAGAACAAGACCATGTACTGCATCGTCAGCGCCTTCGGCCTGTCCATCTGAGCCCCCGTCCCGCGGGCACCGCTCTGCCTCAGCGCTTCTGTCCGTCTTCCCATCACTCACCGCGCGTCCCGTGCACACCTCTCTCCGTATCTGTGTGTTCTGTGGCACTCTCAGAATGTAGAGAAATACACCCGTGGCTGCAGTGTTCCGGCGCTGTGCACCGCGAGCCACACGCTGTCCCGAGGTGGGCGGGCAGAGCCTGCCCCGCCCCCTCTTAACAGACCGTTTCTTTACAAAGGTGCTAAAGCTCAAATCCTGGTGGGAAGCGCTTCTCTCGGAAACGATTCAAGTATACTAATTTTCCATACTTTTTACTTTTGTTAGAATAAATTATTCAGGTTTCAAGTCTGTGTTGTTCCGGGGTCTGCCTCGCCTCCCAGGTGGGATCTTCACAGCGCCAGACAGGGGCGGCGCTGCCCCGGGCCCGCCTCCAGCACGCTGGTGTGCCCACCTCGCCCGCGGGAGTGGGAGCCCACCGGCCCTGCTGGGCCCTCGGCGGACGTCGCTGCGCCGCCCCCTTGCAGAGGCTGGGGTGCTGCCGGCTCGCACACTGCCCGAGGCTGTGCCCCTCCACCTCTGTTCCCCTGGCACAGCCCCAGCGGCTCCTGGACTCCGCGGCTGGGAAAATCCTTCCAGTCGCTCCTTCCGTGTCCCCAGCGCTGTGCAGTTCCTGAAAGTCACACAGCGTGTCTGGAGGGTATCTGGTTAGGGTGCCCGGCCAGGCCTCCAACCCCAGCCTTCCCCTTCCCCTTCCCCCTCCGCAGAGCCTGCTGAGGGCCAGGTCAGACACGTCCACTGGCTCAGACCAAAGAGCCCTGCTCTTGTCAAAGCCTTCCGCCCCCGTGTTGCACTGGCCAAATTTACCCTAGAAAGAAGTCAGACACAGATAAGGAATGAATAATAAAAATTTATTACCATTTGCAGAAAGGTAGTGTCAGAATGAGGCCGTTCCCAGGAGGCTAGTTTGCCCTAAGCAGACAGCAATTCCTGTTGCCCACGGAGGACGGCCCCGCCCCGTCAGGCCCCGCCCCGCCTTCCTATTGAGCGTAATGGCGAGTGTTTCAGTTCACAGATCTGTACAGCTTGTGTGTAAAAAGGCAGTTTTCATAACAGAAAATGTTTCCGAGTGCGGTATTAGACTCACTGGTGTGCCTAACATGGCGCAAAGACAAACATCGTAACACGGGCAAAGCAAAGACAGAAGCAACTCCCTCTCCTGGCGGTAAGGTTTGTCAGAGTGTGTGTGTGTGTGTGTGTGTGTGTGTGCAAAAGGAAGCCCAAGGCAGCTGGTTTCTGACACCTCTGAAATACACTTTAGTGGCCGAGTCCTGACCTGGTGACAGAAGCCCCTGTTACTCTCCCTTTGTAAGCATCTGTATTTCTGCTGTGGACATGATTCGAGAAGTCAGTGGCACCATGTAACCTAGGTAACGTAACTGCATTCAGTAACTAGCCAGTGAAATACTTGATGCTGCTACGTCTGTCTTCTAACCTGTCCATTCAGTGGGCTGGGTCTACGTTATCCAAACTTACAATGTGTAATTACGTACAGCACTAACCTTACGAACCATGAATCTATTTTCTGTATATCCTTCTCTGGCCTTTCAGACAGGGCTTCAGAGAGAACGGCACCAGTGCAGGGCTGTAGTGATTGAATAATAAATCAAGCAGACCTGTTGCCCACGTGGGGACATGGGGTGCCTCCAGACTCCCCTAGACCAATACAAAAACCCAACAGTGGTGTCAGGCCATTATCATGAAGAACTCAAGTCTGCGAAACTTGGATATCTTTGAAGAAAAACTGGCACCCTCCCGAGTTTCTGGAGGGCGGACACCTGTCACATGACACCTGTCACGCCCGATGTGCTAAGCTGCACACACTAGGCCAGTTCTTACATGGAGCATGCAAAATGCTTATCTACTACACCAGGGAGGAGAAATCGAAAACACAATTTAACACCATTTTCCTGTTGAGCACTGTCATTTTAGTTACAGAAAGTAAATACACACTACTGTTTCACTTCACGGCTGCCGTGGAGAGTGGATGCGAGGCCTCGGCCTCAGCTTCCTGCTGCCCCACAGAACACAGACCCCGGGATGTGCTCATGCACACGGCTAATGCACACGGCCTTTACATCTGGTGACCAGCAGCAGTCCAAATGCGGACGCGTGTTTCATGATGGTTGAGGCCTGTAAACCACTTCACATGTTGGAGTGCGTCAGTCTGCATCCGTTCCTACATAAACTGTTCATAGAGTAGTCATATTAGAAGTTGTAAAACTGGGTAACAGAAACATTTTTGCAATACACAGAATAAAAAAAGTCATCTCACACCGTTGCAAGTGTAAAAATCATGTAAACTTGAATCACCCTTACATAACAGCTGCTTCATTCATATTTACAAGTCTTTTAAAACAAATCAAATGGAATCCATATTAAGGTTCCATCACATTATCGTTAAATTAGAGAGAAAAGCCATAACGAAGAGCTTCCTCTGCACCTCCAGGGCCCAGGTCCTGGAGTGGCCGTCACCTGCGGCTCTGAGTGGCGAGCTGGGAATGCATAGGTGGAAATGCAGGCGCGGCGTGCGGAGCGAGCGGTCCTCCCGGGCCTCTGCGTCCCCCGTCACCACGGCTGCCGGCGTCCCGCGGAATCCGGCGTCTCGGGCAGGGTCCCCCGCACCACGGCTGCCGGCGTCCCGCGGAGTCTGGCGTCTCGGCAGGGTCCCCCGTCACCATGGCTGCCGGCGTCCCGCGGAGTCCGGCGTCTCGGCAGGGTCCCCCGCACCACGGCTGCCGGCATCTCGCGGAGTCAGGCGTCTTGGGCAGGGTCCCCCGCACCACGGCTGCCGGCGTCCCGCGGAGTCCGGCGTCTCGGCAGGGTCCCCCGCACCACACTTGCACGTGGAGTCTCTGAGCCTCCTAGGATGCCCGAGATGCAGCAGCACCACGAGCGTCCCTTCTGGAGCCGTGCACCTGCGCGCCCGGCCACGGCGGGACTCGCGGCCAGGAGAGACTTCCAGTGACTTCCCACCCACAGTGCTCATCCGTAAGCCATCCGCTTTCTTTTCAGTTAGTTTCCAAGTGGGGAACTGAAAATCTTTTTGGTAATAAGGAATCTGTAATAATCTATCAATCACTTACGTAGCTTTTATTTAAAAATAAAGCTTCACGGGATCTCACGTTCGACAGAGTTTGCAGAAACTGTGTTGACTGGAATGGAGGCAGCTTCCCTGCTGTCCACCCCAGCCACAGGGAAACGCACCCGGTCCTGCACGCACGCACGCGGGCACACACCGCCCTTCAACACGACCTTCAGACCCAGCCCGGAGCTGGGGACCGGTAGGTTGCCGCAGCCTTTCCCTGCTGAGGCCTGGCCGCCACCCTGCCCGTGGTCCGTCGTCACTTAGGGGTCTGCAGACGCCGCCCCACGGGAAGGACGGCCTCACTCAGGCACAGACGAAAGGGTCAAAACAAGCCGAGGGCCCAGCTCCGGGAGGCGGGAAGGAGAGCAGAGCCGCCAGCCGGGACCTGGCCGGGAGGCTGCCCAGGAACCGGAGTTTGCAGGTAAGTAACTGTCTACCAAACACGGGTGATCTCCTTGTCACCACGGAAACCTCTGCAGAGAGGACTCGGCTGTTGACACTTAGTCCCTCCTCCCAGACAGACGGAGCTGCCCTGACGTAAACTTGGCCCGATTCAGATTTGCTCTCCGTTTTGGTTTCCTTTTAAAAACGTAAACACATGAGGAACGGGGATTCTCCGCTTGCAGGTGTGGCGGGGCGGGCAGGGCGGCCGCGGCCCCGGCGCTCAGTCGCTGTCCGACTCCTCCTTGTACTTGGCGCGGATGGCCTGGCCATTCTGCAGGGGCATCTCCTCGTAGTCGCTCCTGTGGGAACACACCGGGGGGGCTCTTCAGCCCCTCTGCCCGCACGCGGAGCCCCGCTCCACTGCCCGTCACCAGGACCCGGCAGGAAGCAGGCCCAGGAAGTCTGAGCCTGAACCCCATGAAACCAAAACCCTGGAGCCGCGCGACCTGCGTAGCCAAGGCTGCAGGACCCCGAAGATCCCTGTAGAACGATAACCCGCCCACCACTACCGCAGGCCGGATGCCCCGGCAGGCGGCAGCTCACCCATAGATGACGTCGTCGTCCGAGTCGTTGAGCATGGAGAAGGCAGGGTTGTCTTTCAACTGCGACTCTGCAAGCCGACAGAGGCGGTCAGCGCGGGGCTGGGCCCCCAGCCCGATCCCACCGTTCAGACCCGTGGGAGCGCGGACCAGAGACCCTGCCTGCAGGGCGGCGTGAGGGTCACGTGAGAGTCTGCGGGAGGAGCAGGCACACGCCAGGTGCCCACACCGAGGGCCCCACGAGATGCGGCTCCGTCCGCCTGCTCCCGCCGGCACTTGGCCTCGTCTCGTCCTCGCTCCTGCAGGCTGTGATCTGAGTGTGGCTACACCTGCACTGCCAGTGCCTGCGACACTCAGATGAGACCCCGTTCGTGAGGGTGCTGCGGAGGCTGGAGCACTGCGGGTGCCAGGGCAGCACTGTCCGTTCCAGCAAGTTCTCTTCCTTCTGCCTGTGACGTGGGGCTGGCACATTCTGGCTTTTCAATTTTACTTGTGCAGCAGTGAGAGAGAGAACCTCCCACCTATGGGTTCACTCCCCAGATGCCTGCAACAGCCAGGGCTAAGCCGGGGCCAAAGCTGGGGTCAGGAACTCAATCCGGGTCTCTGTGGGCAGCAGGGACCCAATGACTTGTGCCATCACCTGGCACGCTAGCAGGAAGCTGGAGCTGGACGTGGAAGTGGGAACTGAACCCAGGCACTCCAGGGGGCCTGCAGGCATTCTAACCACCAGGCTGGACACCCACTCCCCTGGTTTCTCCTGAAAGCTCGGGACACCCGTATCCCACAGGCTGACGGCCACCGCTAGTGCAGACTCACTCACGAGACAAACTCACTGCGTGCAGTCAGGGCACAACGTGGGTTCAGGGTCAAGGTCCGTGTGTTCTAACGAAAACTCAGAGCTTACCGTGTAAACGCGCCTCGTCTCTCCCACCCACAGAGAAGCACCAAGAGCCACAGCACCCAGCCCAGCACTCACGGAAAACCGCAAGTGTGTCCTGAACCAAGGCTTCTGTCCCGGTGAGGCGGACCCCGGGGAGCTTACCATACAGCGCGTTCCTGGATGGAGAGTACACAAAGGCCAAAGTGTAGAGGTAAAAGTTCAACAAGCCGTAGAAAGACAGGAACTCCGCTGGTGACGCCAGTCAAGGGAAGGAGCTGTGGGCACGTGGCTGGCCGCCCCTGCCGCCCCCAGACCCGTCTGCTGCCCCCTGGGAGCCCGGCCCCGACGGCCGTCGACAGAGGTGTCGGTAAAGGACGGATGAACGTGACCTCTTCCAGCCACGGGAGGCAGACTCCGGGGGCAGCCCTGGTGGCCCTCCTCCCCCAGCACCCGGGGCCGGCAGGCCACGGCACACAGCTGAGCAGCGTCTCCAGACAGTAAGGGTAGAACAAGCCAGCCATCCTGAACCTTCCCTGTGTGACAGCCGCTTTGAGGATGACAAAAGCACAATCACAAAGCATGGGACCGCCCTGCCTCCTGAGAGCCCCTAGAGCAGGAACCCACGATTTGAAGGACTGATGGCCGAGCATCCCAGCGCCGAGAGACGTGCCAAGTCCTGGCGGAGCTGTCCCAAGGGGGAATGAGGACAGGGCACCTGGGAGGCGACAGCTCGCTCCGCTGGCTTGGGTACAGTGAGGGCGGAAGGAGTCCCCAGGACTCGTGAGCCCTGTCCTCAACACGCAGCCTCCGTGGCTAAATTCCCACGGCCCTGTACAGCTACGTCTGGGTACTGTGGGTAACCCTGGGGCCCTCCTGGGGCCCTGATGGGGAAAGGCCATGGCTCCAACTGACCCCGGATGTGTGCACATATGTGCATGGGCTCTGGGGCCCTGGAAGGAGAGGGGTGGGGTGGACAACAGCTCCAGGCCAGCAGCTCTGGGACTGCACCCAGGCTGTGCCACAAGGCCAGTGACCTCGGTGGCTGCTAAGCCCCGCCCACAGAGAGGAGTGACAGAGCCACCCCTTCCCAGGGCTGATGTGCGGCCAGAAGGGAGAACAGGCCACAGGGAGCGCCAGGCTGCAATGCTAACCACGGCACCTGCGGTTGCATCTCCAGGCTCAAAGGATATAGTTCTGGTAGTGGGTTGACAGTTCTGCTACAAAGTTGTCTTGTAATACTTGGGCTCCAAACCTTAAGTAGAGGATGACGATGCTGCAAAACAGGGGTGCAGACATCAAGTAAAAATAGACCAGGAAATGGCACCGGCCTCAGGTAGCAGGCCACCGTCACCCACTAAGACGTAGTCTGTCACTGTGATTTCTGCTCCGAAACTTCTATTCACGTGCAGCATACACGCATGGGCACCCACGTGGGCACGCAACTCTGTGTGTGGCCTTCCAGTCTCAGAGCTGGGACGGCCAGACCACCGGCCAGCTGCTGCCGGAGAGCACAGTGCCACCAACACAGGCCACGTCTGCCCACAAGGCCGGGAGCCCCCGCGCGCGGCACGCACTCCCCCGACCTTGCTCCCACATTCACTCACCGCCTCTCGGCCCTCTCCCCGCTCCCAAATTCACATCCTCACAGCCAAACCCCATCCCCCACACCAGAATTCAGCTCCTCTGGGCCGTCTCCCACCCACCCCCGAATTCACCTCCCCAGCAGAATTCACCTCCTCTAGGCTGACCCCCTACACGGAATTCACCTCTCCAGGCCATCTTCCCCCACGGGACATATGGAATAATCATCTGGAATTTATTCCAAGAGTCAGCTTCCGAGTCCTGGTCAGATCTCTCCCAGCAGTGAGCACACGCACAGACGTGGCCGGCCTGCCTGGAGGTGACCGTGGCTCACAGGCCCCTCCCGACAGCCCCCCACCCCCCAGGGACCCCTGTGTGCTGCTCGCTGGTATCTGTGGCTTCATTCACACTCAGGATCCCACCCTCGGAGCACCAGAGGCTCCCTCTGACCCGAGCACCCCTCACCTCCATCTTGTCAGGCCCTAATTTCCTGACACGAGTGGCCACGCATCACACCTGGCAGGGCTCAGAGCAGGTCGGGACCACACCCAGCCCGCACCCGTGGGCAGAGCCTCTGACCTGATCAGTGTGGGAGATAGACCCCCACAAGGAGAGGAAGTATTCGTGATGACAAGATAAGCCCCAGTTTCCCTTCTTCCAAGAAGTGAAGTGCTCTTACCTGATGACAAGCACTACAAAGGTTAATGCCGTCAGAAACTTCAACCTGAGATCTGAAAGAGAGAGCCTCCCGTTAGTAAATGCACTCCCATCTCCATCTCCAGGATCTAAAAAACAAAACCAGAAACAAAGCAAAAGGCCCTGAACAAATCCTTTTCCCTCTGGACTTCAAGTCCGGAGCGAGGCTCACAGCTCACGGGGCCCTCGGCGGGAACCGGCGAGACCCCGACACCACGCTGGCTGGGACCCCTCGGGGGACAGGGCCCCATGAGTGGGACTGAGAACACAGCCGCCCAGGCCTGGGGCCTCCCACCAAGCGGCCGGGGTCATCGCCTTGGGCCTGCTGTGGCTCCGGGGCGCTGGAGAGCAGGGCCCAGCTGGTGGGAAGGGACAGTCCCTGGGCTCCCTGGCCCGGTGCTTACCCACGTACGGCATGTGGCGCAGCTCGGAACAGGCCCGCACGACCAAGAACAGCAGGGCGGCGACGTACACGGCCGCCCCCACCAGGAAGAAGGTCTTCATGCCCTGGAGAAGACAAGCCCCGCGCCTGGGTTAGAGCAGGCCCGGGCACCTCTGGCCCAGCACTCCAGGACAGAACAGGCTCCCGGTAGACTGGCCGCTGGGCCCTCTGTGGACGGAGGCACCCAGCCCTTGTGAGGCGGAGGGGCCGGGGCAGAAGCTGGCATGTGGTGATAATGACTGCTGGCCCCCCACCCCCACGGGGACGGAGGCTGCACCCCGAGAGGCCCCAAGTGAGGCCCAACCTTTCCGGGTCTCTGTTTTCTGGGAAACACAGGGTGAATGAGAGGCCGTGGCAGGCTGGGGTCACGGAGGCTTGGGGGGAGGGCAGGCGGCAGGGGCTGGGGACGGCCAGGCTGCCCGGATCTGCTTCCGAGGCAGAGGGCCCTGTGCGCCGTCCGTGTGCCTCTCCAGACCGGCTGTGGCCACCACGCTCAAGTCCCCAGCCTCGTTCTTCTGGAGCTGAGGCCCGGGAAGGGCGGACCGGAACCTTGCTGGGCACCGCTGCCCCTACGACTCTCAGGGGAGACCCCTCGGCTGCCCATCTCACAGATGAGGACACACGCGGCCCGGGGACTTTGCCTTCAGCCTGGCTCAGCAGCTCTTGGCTGTGTGAGTCTGCCCTGCCCCTCAGTGCCCCCCGCAGAACACGAGGGGGCTGTGCCAGGAAAAGGCTGTGGCATCACGCATTCTACTGCTTTACCTACACGCAGCAGCAGCCTCTGTCCCAGGGAGTCCCTGTGCAGAGCCCACCACGCCTCCACGACCCCAGCCCACCTGACAGTCCACACGCCCCCCGTGGGCGCAGCCATAGTGTCCTCTCCTCGCCCCACCCCCCACGGTTCAGGGTGGCCCCCAGCGGATGCACAGAAATAAAGAAGCCCCTCCGCCCGGGAGCCCGTGCCTCTGGGATGGCGCCTTCTCATGGCCCCGTGCTGCCCAGGGCTCGCTCCCCCGTCTGCTGTCTTCCGTGTGCCCGGGCCGAGCCCCGTGGCCTCACAGGGTCAGACACTAAGGGGGCAGGGGGAAGGGCACGTTGTCCATAAGCATCGCAGGGACTTCAAAAATGTGTGGAAAAGGGATTAAAAGGGAAGCTGTGCTGGGGCAAACGATTTTGAAATCTGTGCAGTTTTTTCCTTAAACGCATCTTCTATGGACTTTTCAGAGACCCCGTGTGCACTCAGCGACCTCCAAACCCCCTACACGGCAGAGCGGAAGGGAGGGGCTGCTGGCCTCGCCCTCCAGGTCCAGGGAAGACCCGGCTCTCACCGCTTCCTGGTCACACATGGCCCCCACACAGACACCCTTCAGAACACCCCCCTCACTGCGCTTCCTCCCCCCAGCACGGCCCACGCGCCAGGCCAGCACGCGGCCGTGCACCGAGCACAGGCCCTCCTCCTCCAGTCGCCAACAATCGGCCTGGGACCCTTTCTCTCCGGGCTCACAGAACGGCCAGTCCAGCCCAGCCGCCAGCTGCACCCAGGGGGGGTGGCCCTGGGGAGCAGCGGGAGCCACATTCGGGACTGACAGGAAGCGCTGGGCCTCTTGCCGGAGGGGCGCCACCCCACTGCTCCCACAGCCCCAGCCAGGCCTCTCGCTCCTGCAAACCTCCAAAGAACAGCAAGAGCACAACAGAAACCTGCTCCAAGCCGGCTGCCATTCCCCTACAACCCGATCTTCAACCAGAGGCCAAAGACTTGGAGTCAAAACACAGTTTTTAAAAGTGTATTTCTGGCCGGCGCCGTGGCTCACTAGGCTAATCCTCCGCCTTGCAGTGCAGGCACACCGAATTCTAGTCCCGTTCGGGGCACCAGATTCTGTCCCGGTTGCCCCTCTTCCAGGCCAGCTCTCTGCTGTGGCCCGGGAGTGCAGTGGAGGATGGCCCAAGTCCTTGGGCCCTGCACCCCATGGGAGACCAGGAGAAGCAGCTGGCTCCTGGCTCCTGCCATCGGATCAGCGCGGTGCTCCGGCCGCAGCAGCCATTGGAGGGTGAACCAACGGCAAAAGGAAGACCTTTCTCTCTCTCTCTCACTGTCCACTCTGCCAAAAAAAGTTTATTTCTGTGTAACTCAAACCCGCTCCCCAAATTCGCCGCCTCTGCCCTGTTTGATAAAGGAGGCCGGGCCTCAGCAACCCTTACCTGGAAGTTGCCCGTGTCCACGCGGTACTGGTACATGGGATCGTGCAGTTCGTTAACTCTGAAAAACGATGTTAGCAAAGGATCGCAGGTTAACCAGCAACGAGGCTTACGCGTTTTCTCTCTCAAATCTTGAAACGTTTAACACAAACTACCCGCCACGCAGCGTGAAGCGCTTTGAAGGAGGACCCTTACATTCACGAGGAACCTACACCGCGCGTTGCAGACGCACAAAGCCAAGGCAGCTGTCGGCACCCGGCTGCGGTGCTGTCACAGACCCCCGCCCCACACTCCCGCAGGCCCGAGTGTCTTCCAGGCGCCGCTGTGGCACAGACAGCAACCACAGACAAAGCCGGGACACACTCCCGGAGGCTCATCTTAAGCTCAGAGTGGGCGGCCAGGAGACAGGGAGCCGGGGAGGCAGGAGGCACGCGCCACGGCCAAGGTCACGGGTCACGTGGGTGCACCGGGCGCCCCCAGAGAGAGCCCTCCTGGGGTGGGCAGCGTCAGGCTCTGTCACGCTCGGCTTCTGCCCGGTCACCCTGCAGGGCACAGGAACAGCAACAGAGGTGGACCCTGAGAACCAGGGAGGGGCCCGGGAGCAGGATACCTCTGGGGGCGGCAGGGGCAGGAGCTGTGCTGAGCGTTGCTGCCTAAACCAGGGTGCTGGGTGCCATGGCCCTTCCCCACTTTCCACGCTGGCAAAGATCGGGAAACATGGGGTGCCATCTCAAAACAGTCAGGCCTGGCTCCGGCCACCCGTGTCAACCACCCGCCAGGGCCCAGGCTTCCCTGGACAGGGCTACTCACGTCTGCCATACCCCCAGCGTCACCGCCGCCAGCCACAGCAGCCCGACGATGAAGAACTTGGGCAGATAGAAAGTCAAGCACTTTCTCTCTCCCTGCAAAGAGGACACAAGTGAGACACGAAGCCACCAGACTCCCTGAGCTGAGCGAAGCGCCCATCCCGTCAGGCCATGGGCACCCCAGCCACTTCTAGGCAGCCCCACTCTGGGGATCTAGGGATCCCCGCTCTAGGGAGCTCCTAGCAGAGTGGGGGTGCACCGTGGCTCACTTGCACCCGGATCCCGTGCACCCCCAGAGAGCGGGGGCGGCACCGCAGCTCACCTGCACCCGGATCCCGTGTACCCCCAGAGAGCGGGGGCGGCACCGCGCTCAACTTGGGCCCCGAATCCCGGGGCACCCCCCAGAAGGGGGGGGGGGGACGGGGCGCCACCCGCCCCCGGAGGCCCGGGGCCCCCCCCCAAGGGGGGGGGGACCGCGGCTTACTGGTGCCGATCCGGGCACCCGAGAGAAGGGGGGGGAGCACGGCTCACCGCACCCGAATTGTTGACACCATAGCAGAGCGGGGGCGGCACCGCGCTCACCTGCACCCGGATCCCGTGCACCCCCAGCAGAGCGGGGGCGGCACCGCGGCTCACCTGCACCCGGATCCCGTGCACCCCCAGCAGAGCGGGGGCGGCACCGCGGCTCACCTGCACCCGGATCCCGTGCACCCCCAGCAGAGCGGGGGCGGCACCGCGCTCACCTGCACCCGGATCCCGTGCACCCCCAGCAGAGTGGGGGACGGCACCGCGCTCACCTGCACCCGGATCCCGTGCACCCCCAGCAGAGCGGGGACGGCACCGCGCTCACCTGCACCCGGATCCCGTGCACCCCCAGCAGAGTGGGGACGGCACCGCGCTCACCTGCACCCGGATCCCGTGCACCCCCAGCAGAGCGGGGGCGGCACCGCGCTCACCTGCACCCGGATCCCGTGGTACACGCAGAGCCAGAAGAGCAGCAAGGCGCACAGGAACACGGACTGGAAGAGGTCGTCCAGCATGCCCGGGAGCCAGCTGTTCACCAGGAAGGACAGCGGGAAGAACGGATCTGCAGCGAGCGGGAGACTTGACACCAGGGCTCACGGGCACCCGGCACCCAAGTGCCCCCACGCAGGCCCCTCCCCTGCCTAGGAGTCCCGCACAGCACGCAGAGGCAGGAGAGGCAGACAGGGCAGACAGCCCTGTGCCAGGACTGCTGTGTCTGCAGCACGTCCAAGTGTTGACTGCGGAAGCAGCGCCATTTGTTAAAGACCCAGGCATCTGCCACGGCCTGGGGAGCGGGGTTCCTCCCGGGACGCCCACGCCCTGGCGACTCTGGGACGGAGCCACCCCGGGACAGAAGCAGCACCTACCGTTGTACAGCAGCAGCAGGGGCAGGAGGACGGACATCCACTTCTGCTCGATGCCCCAGTCCCGCATGGAAAACTTGCGCAGCGAGTGTGCAAACAGGCACTGCAAGCCGAGCCAGGCCCGTGACCGCCGTGGCACAGCCGAGTCTCCCACACAACCCTCTGTGCTGCGCGGCTGCTGCAGACCCAGAGGCCCGGCCGTGCCCGAGACACGGTAGCTAACTGCTGTGGGGGCCGGCGGCAGAGGTTACAGGCCACCCGCGGGGCAGCATGGGAGAGGACGGCCAAAAACCCCTGGAGAGGAAGCACCTGTCCTCCCCCCCCCACCCCACCCCGGCAGCCCAGCTCAGAGAGAGCCCCTGGCCCAGAGCCCCGTCTGTGGATTCCAAGGAGGGCCCCGAGCTCCTGCAGCACAGCTGTCACCCACGGCATCAGGTCCCCGAGGAAACCCGAGAGGAGCAGGCCCACGGCCCCTGTCAGAGCACGCCCCTGAAGAGGGAGCGCCGGCCCACATACACGACACGAGTGGCTGCAGGCCTGCCTGGGGGTTGCTTGCTTTGTGTCCTGTCCCTTCCTCTCCGTCTGCAATTGAACCTAAGCCGGTGATTTCTAGGCAGCCTGCACCTCCCGCCCCGGGGGCCACCACTGCCAGTCCCAGCCGCCGGATGAGGCTCAGGCCCGGCTCTCCTTAGGAATGTGCTCTGTGGGCCCCAGGAAACCAGGCACCAGGGCCTCCAGGGACAGCAGGGGTCTCTGATGGCCATGCCGCAAGGCTTCTACACTTAGGACGTTCGCCAGGGGGGACCAAGGACTGGGCTCCCTGCTGGATCCAGTGCCCGCGTCCTGCCCTCCACGGGCCCACCACATGCCTGCGTCCCTCTCTGGATGGCGAGTCTGCAAAGCCCCAGATGTTCCCGGGTGTCCGCTGGAGGGGTCACCACTGCACTGATGCAGCCACGCATCGCCTAAACGCCACCCCTCCTTGTCAGCACTGGGGTGACCGGCTGGTGGGAGGGATGGCCACCCTGCAGAGGGCACAGTCACTCAATGGAGCACGCGGCCCCTCCCATCTTCACAGACAGGCCCTGAGCGCCCCTGGGTTCGGGGGCAGGCGCTGCCCTCAAGGTGGGCGATGGCCTGCTGTGCACCTGGCCCTCGGATCCCAGAAGAGCCACAGGCGCACGTTCCCGAACCGCTTCTCTTTGGCCTCTTTCTGCAAAGCCCAAAGATGGAAAGGCCCAGAATAACTGCCCAAAAATCCAAAGGAAAGAACCCGCGGCCAGGGCAGGTCAAATGGAGAATCTCGCCCCCGCAGGGAGAGTGGCCTTTGCCATCGCTCAACACGGAAACCTGACTGATCTGTAAGGACGAACGCACCGCACTCACTCAGTGCCACTCCTCTCTGTGCTCGGCACGGCGTGGACACACGGGGCCCTCGGTCACAGAAGCCTGGCCCCCGGGGGAAGCCTCTCGGAGATCAGTGTCCGCGCTCGGATGACAGAGCCGCCGACACTGGCTTTGTCCGTGCGCGGATGGCACTCACCGTGACGATGAAGGTGAGCACCACGAAGACAAATCGGAACCAGATCTCCAACTGGGAGAATGCGGGGTCGTAAGTCTTCCACTGAAACGGGAAGCAGACAGAATGACGTGAAAGCAAACGCACCCCAGGAAACGAGCAGACTGCACACGGTGGCCACTGCCAGACACGCCCGGAGGTCTATTCAAATGACTTCCTTATCTTTCCCACATGTTTGACACTCCGCACATTTTACTCTCAAAGACTCAGGTACCAAAAAGTCCTGACTACCAAGAGCTGAAAACACTTTCAAGAGTTGTATTAATGATGATCGTGGCAGAGAACTATCCTGTAATTGCAATTAAGAACAGCTGGATTTTAAGCCGATCAAACCAGGACAGAATCCGGCGCCCCGACCGGGACTAGAACCTGGTGTGCTGGCGCTGCAGGTGGAGGATTAGCCTATTGAGCCATGGCACCGGCCAGAGCTTAAATTTTAATCTAGACTTTAATCTAGATTTTAAGCCGATCAAAAAAGGCGGCACGCGGCCCAGTGGTGAAGGCGCCCACGTCCACACAGCAGTCCTGGCTCTGCCTCCTGCCCCAGCTTCCTGCTGTGCAGACCCTCAGGTGCCGCACTGACGGCTCGAGCGATTGGCTTCCTCCACCCCACCTTCGGGAGCCCGGGATGATGATGCTGGCTCCCCGCTTCAGCCTCACCCCGCCTGGCCACTGTGGACATTTAGGAAATGAATCAGCAGATGGGAATTCTGTCTCTCTCCCTGCCTCTCAGTCAACCAACAATCAACCGTGTCAATTTGTCTACTAGGAAAAGCCATGATGACTTTTTTCTTTTTTTTTTCCTTTTTTTGACAGGCAGAGTGGACAGTGAGAGAGAGAGAGAGAAAGGTCTTCCTTTGCTGTTGGTTCACCCTCCAATGGCCGCTACGGCCAGCGCACTGCGCTGATCCGATGGCAGGAGCCAGGTACTTATCCTGGTCTCCCATGGGGTGCAGGGCCCAAGCACTTGGGCCATCCTCCACTGCACTCCCTGGCCACAGCAGAGAGCTGGCCTGGAAAAGGGGCAACCGGGACAGAATCCGGCACCCCGACCGGGACTAGAACCTGGGGTGCCGGCGCTGCAAGGCGAAGGATTAGCCTACTGAGCCGCGGCGCCGGCCAGCCACAATGACTATTAAAAGGAACAGATTTAAAAAAAAATTTTTTTTGAGAGGCAGAGACAGCCACAGAGCACGCACTCCCAGCCACCAGTCCACTCTCCAAATGCCTGCAATGGTTGGGCTGGGTCAGACCGGCAGCCGGCAGCCAGGAGCTCAATCCACATCTCCCATGGGGAGTGGGGGGGTACAGGAACCCAAGTACTCAAACCATCACTGCTGCCTCCCACGATTCACGCCAGCAGAAGGCTGGAGTCAGAAGCCAGCACTGGCTTCCAGACCTGGGGATGGTGCCGTGGGACCAAGGCACCCCAACCAGTGTCTTCCCCGCTGAGCCTAATGCCTGCCACAGAAACATATTTGTCAAGTGACACAAAAGAATGAGTAGGATGTTTCTCAAGACAGTGTAAGTCAGACATGCAGATGTGAACCCGAAACCGGGACAGTGAGCTGTAGTTCAGCTGTCCGTCCCCACACTCACTGGGGCCAAGCAGACACCTGACACACGGAGTGGAGGCTGCAGGCGCCACCTGCTGACGGCAGGGAAGGAGGCAGCAGCTCCTCCCCACCCACAACCAAACCCCAGAACAGTGCGCTGGAAGGCCACTCACTGAACCCCATCACTGCGCTGCACTGAGGGGCACCCCAAGAAGCCTGATGAAGACGGCTGGTTGCATAAGGAGGTGGGGGGGCTGCGGGATGCGAAGTCAGCACAGAAGCTGTCTGGACTGGAAACAGTTCCCCAACAGTGAACGCACAGTGACGTGGGAACATGGAAGGGCCCCCTGACACCCACCACTACCACCAAGCACCTCGCGGGGACCCCGTGGTAGGACAGAATTCAGACGTGCAGAGTGAGCTCACGCTGTTCTACCCAAGCCCATCAGGGAAGCAGCACGGAGGTTGCCTGGGAGACAGGCTGCGGGAGGGGGCCGGGCAGCGGCTGGGGCGGGGGTGTGCTCAGTAACTGGCTGGGGGGGTGTCCCGCAAGGATCCATTGCCGCATTTAAATAAGGGCACTTCACTGTGCGTTCAGTACACATCAGTACAGCTGCCCGGCACAAATCAGCAACCAGCCACTGAGGACGCCGGGAAAGCGGAGACCACAGAGGGAGGCGCTGCGTTCTGAAGTCAGAGGCTGGGTTCAGACGCCAGCCCTTCCACTTCCAGCTGGGCACGGTACTTGACCCCAGGCCAGGCCGGACGTCGCCCCCACAGCTGGGGACACTGTGACCACTTCCCGGGACCATCACGGCCCGTGCAGCAGAGCACTTGTGCCGAAAGTTATGCATGGCAGAAGCTCAGGGAACAGCTGCTACCACAATTCCGAACCACAGCACATCCGTGCTCACGGCAGGACCGAGCCTCACGCCAGCAGATCATTAGCAGAGTGACTGCGGCGGTGAGTGTGGGCACGCGGCGGGTGTGGACGTGAACCTAACATGAAAACAGGAAAAAGCACAGCGCACATCTTGTTTGAAAAATGCAGATGCCTGGCCGGCACTGTAGCGCAGCGGGTTAATGCCCTGGCCTGAAGCGCTGGCACCCCATAGGGGCGCCGGTTCTAGTCCTGGCTGCTCCTCTTCCGATCCAGCTCTCTGCTATGGCCTGGGAAGGCAGTGGAAGATGGGCCAAGTCCTTGGGCCCCTGCACCAGCGTGGGAGACCTGGAAGAAGCTCCTGGCTCCTGGCTCCGGATCGGCGCAGCTCTGGCCATTGTGACCAATTGGGGAGTGAACGAGCAGATGGAAGACCTCTCTCTCTCTCTCTCTCTCCTCTTTCCATGTAACTCTTTCAAATAAATAAATCTTAAAAAAAGAAAAAGAGAAAAATGCAGATGTTAAGGCATAATCAAGAAAAAGAAATCGCTACCAAGAGGGAGAAAAACAGAAACTGCTTAGAGTAGTGGGAATAAATATTTTTTTAAGCTTCAAGGGATGGAACTCTTAAAGAAGCAGAGCAACAGCAAAGGGCTGACTCATGCTAAAAACAAACTAGGCAACAATGCTTTATTTAAAAACACAGCTGAGACCAACACGTGTACTTAATTCTAAAATATGAGTTAAGGGGGGGGGAGTGGAAGAGGAAAAGAAAATTAATGCTAGAACAGGTCCTGCCCACCACACCTGGCGCGGAGCCCGCCCCCCACCCCCCCCACCCCCGCCTTTATCACAGTCGGTGCAGTGGCACTGCCTCCTGCTGTACAGGGCCCGGTCCTGCCTGAGTCAAGAACCCACTTCCAGGTAAGCAGCCACTGATAGGAGCTGCCCACATGTCGCTGAGGCCAGGCCAGGCTGGGGGGCTGTTCCCCGTGGAGCCGCACCAACAGGTGCATGGACGGTCCCGCCCCCACCAGACACCAGCCCCCCAGCCACGCGGGGTCTAGTGAGTCAGAGCCAGGACAGTCCCGGAAAACAGATACCTCCAGATCCACTGGAATTAGGATTGGGGTTTAGTTTTTCTGTTCATTTTTAATCCCAAAATATATTTTTGAAATTGAAATTGTAAAGTACGTAAAAGGTAATAGAGCAAGAATGCCAGAATCCGCTGAGATTTCGGTCGCTGCCTTTGAAGTCAGAGGCGCTGCCACCCCATGTGCGTCCCTGGGTGTCACAAAGCCATCGCTGTCCTTCAAAGACCGTGAAGTCACCCTCGCGACAAGCGCCACTCCAGCTCTAGGCCACTCCTCCGTTACGATCCGCAGGCTGTGGTCTGGCCCAGGCCCAGCCGTGCACCTGCTCCTACATACACGTGCCTAGGGATGTCAGTCCTGGGCAGACGTGAGTAAGCGAACTCAGAGGAAACAATCCAGGAGCCACAGAGCACGCGAGGGGAGCACGCGGGAGCACGCGGGGGCAGGCAGGCAGCAGGAAGCAGCTTCAGACCCCAGCAGCGCTGAGCAGATGCCCGGCCTGGGGCCTTGTCCTCAGCCAGGGGTACCAGAGGAGAGACACTACAGAGAAGCTGGGCTGAGGGGAGCAGGGGGGAGGGACCGACCTGTCACGTGGCTCCCTGAAGCCACACAGCCTGCAGCGGAGCGCGGCTGCTGTCACTGCTGGCCCGCACCAGACCCACACCTGCCAGCACCTGGGTGGTGGGCGCCCAGCCCCCATTCCTGCGTGCTTCCCAGACCCTGTGTCACTGCAGCACAGACGGGCCATCACCACTACTCCAAAGTTACACACGGAAGCAGAAAGCAGCGCGCCAGACATCCCTGATGCGGTTTCTGAGGACGAAAGGAAGGGAGAAGGCTGCCTGTCAAACTAGGGCGACATGGCATCAACGCCAGCGCCAGCCAGGAGACACCGGGGGCAGCTGTGGTGGCAGCTCCGTCTCTCTGGAGGTCAGGGACGCCATCAGGGACATCTTCCCTGGAAGAACCGGCGGGCGAGACAAACGGCGGAGTCCAGGGCGAGCAGCCTCTCACGTAAGGGCCAGGGCTCCAGGCTGGGCCAGCGCATCGGAAGCCAGAGATGCCCCAGGGAGCGCTGAGATGACGGGCGGCGCTCAGAAGCCAGTGCCGTCCGGACAGTCGCTGGGAGTCCGCCGGGGAAGCGCCGTCTCGGGACATGCATGGCGCACGAGCGGCACCCTGGCGAGCTCCAGTTTCTGAGGTGCCCGAGTTTTCCTCACGGAGAGAACACGCACAGGAAACGACACCTGCGTCCTGTACGCACAGCGCGACACGCCGACAAGCCGCACACACCTGGGCCACAGACACCCCCACCAGTGCCCAGGAGTCCCGCCCCTCATGCCCCCTAGAGTCACCAGCCTACCCAAGAGTGACGGCACCGGTCCTGATTCACGGGCACACGCGCGTTTGCCTATTGTGGTAATTTATACAAATGAGATCACACAGCTCACGGCTCTCTGCACTGGGCTTGTGGGAGACCTGAGCCGCCCACTCTGCACACACTGCTGCCTGCGT